CCTCCGGAGATCTCCAACTTGCACTGATCAGCCTCGTTGCTGCTGCTGCTGCTAGCCATCTTCTCAATTGGTATGGAAGGTTTTGACGACGAGAAAGCTAGGTAGGGCAAGGTTTGACTGATCACGACGGTGGATAGGGATGCTTAAAGGGTTTTGAGTGTTTGTGTATATATATGGTAGAGGGTCATGCCAAATAGATGGAGGTTTTGGAACTCTCACGGAAGATTTGTGTTTGGTTTCAGACGGCCAACCATTTAATTTGCATGCATGCAGCTTAAACAGTTGTCGATCGAGTCCTGTCTCAATATGGGCTGATTTGCATGAGGACGACGATCCAATCATTATATTCTTATTTTTCCAACTACTGCACTGCACGTACGTGCTGTGTGTATGCATTGAAAGTTGAAACCAGAGAGGCGCCAATATGTCTCCACAGGATTTACTCATGGTTATTTTCAACTACCCGTTATGTGTAGACATTTATGAATTATGGTATTAGTTGTTAGCCGGTCTGGTTCGGTTATAACCGTAAGTGTTTAATTATTTATCGGTTAATCATTGAGCAATATGTATTTAAAGTTAATTGTAATATTTATATTAGTCGATTAATCATAACCGTATAGTCAATTATTGGTTATTTTGTTGATAATCATTAAGCAAAAGATTTGGCAACGTTTGACCAAAATAGCCGGTCGGTAACCCAATCAACATAATGCTATTTTTTCAATTGTGTGTTTTTGTAAATTTTTTTCCTTCTATATATGTATATTTCATTGAATAAAAAATTATACAACATAGATATCAATCAATAATTAACTCAATCTATCACAAGTACACAATAACACGATTATATCGTTCGAATTTGATTAAAGAAGCTCACAAAAATAAGATAACGAACAACAATACTCAACTCATAAACTCCGCCAAATTAACATGGAAATTTAAATGTTGTTGATTGCTCATAAAAAAATTAATAAGGAAAATAAAATTAATTAGGTCCATATCAAAATGAAGACAAAATAAAATTAATAAGAAAAATCATGAATACGACAACAATTACAATGATAATTTATCAAGGTTAATAATCTGATTTATCAGGGATAATGTTGGGAAGTGGTGAATCGATTATGATTTGAATTGATATTGGTCGATGGTGGTTAGTGTGGGAAAACTAGATGGTGTATGTGGAGGAGAAGGAAATTATGCGTAATTTTGCAAATTCTCGGAGGGGAAAGAAAAATTGATCCAAAGATTTGAATCGTAAAATCACAAGATTTTAAAGATTTAAATCTTGAATAGTGTAGGCTTTTAAGGTCCATAGATTTTATAGTGAAATCATAATCGGAACAAGTAAGTCAAATCGTAAAACCATAGGATTTTAGTATTTAAATCGGAATTTCTAACGGTTTTGCCAATGAAGCACCTTACTCATTTTAACCCGTAAGCTCGTAAAATGCCTCCATTCTGCTCAGTAGGGCTGGGCATGCGGGCGGATTATCCGCGGGTTTGGGCCGACCCACCCGCATTTGACCCGAATTTCGTTAAGTGGGTGGGTCTATGGGTGGGTGACGGGTTGCGTTGGGAGTCATCCGACGGGTGGTGGGTGGGTTGTGGGTGAGTGTGCGGGTGACCCGCTCAACCCAACAACAAAAAGATCAAAGTCGTCGGCGCTAGAGAAAGGAGAGTGGAGACGTTAGATATAAACTCGGACTGCTCCTGGAGTTTGAACCTCAAAGCCAACCTTCCAAATAGAGATCCCCTCTTCTTCCCTTTACTTTTTCCTCTAATTCTTGTGTCTAGATCACCGCTCTTTCCTTTGTGGAATTATTTTCCTTAGTTCCTAGCACCTAATAATCGTCTCAATCTGTAGAAAACTCTTTCATAATAGAATTTCTATCCAATTTAAGAACTAATTCGATATTTTTCGCCTTATTTCAACTTCTTGTTTCCCTCGATGATTCCCTTCACCTATTATCATGTCAAGTTGACTCCTTTATATATTATATACATTGTGATGTGGGTGAACCCACAAACCCACCCGCATCATCCACCATCCGCCCGACCCAACCCGAGACTAAATGTGGGTGGGTGGTGGATTAAAAATTATCAATCCGTTTAAGCGCGGGTGGGTGCATTTTATGGTCAAAATCCACCCGACCCACCCAATGCCCACCCCTACTGCTCAGGTTGCCCTAAAGATCACAGCTTCAAGTGCCCCATAGATTTCAAATGTCTTGCAAGCCTGCACCGACGGGCGACGTGGATGCGCCCCCAGCGGCTCAGCCTGGTACATTATGCCATGACAAGTTGTTGGGCCGGGAATTCAGGTTTCCTTTTACTCGGCCCAGAACCAATCCATGGACACGAGAAAGCCCAAGAGTTTGAGCATGTCCGAATCCAAATCGCCTTCGGCCATCTTCCCTCCCCTCCCGGCAAGTGCCGCAAGGTTTCTGGAACTCTGTAGAACTTTCCGGAGTCACCTTCTCCCGTCATTCTCCTGGTCGGCTACTCGTTCGCCTGCTTCTCATATTTCGCGTCTACATTTGCTTCGCTCGCCGTATAAAGCTCAACTCTTTAGTGGTCATCCGTATCAGATTTTGCTAAAGAAGCGAACTTTTTGTTTTGCGAGAGTGCTTTTTCTTCTAGGTTTTCTTTCTCCGACCTTTGTGAATTGATAATGGCGAAACCAGGACCCGACTGGGATGGGTTGCTCAAGTGGAGTCTTGCCCACTCCGATGGAACCGGGTCGAATCGCAGCCTCAGGTGATGATGCTAGCAGCTTGCTCTTGCTAAATCCTTTTCCACCTTTCTGCTGTTTTGAAGTAAGTATGGGGTAAAAGCTTTCTGAATTTGTATGCTTGATTTGTTTTAATTGCAGCGAGGAGGATCGAAGATGGTTCACGGAAGCAATGCAATCTCAAACTGTCGATGTGGTTAAGCGGATGAAGGAGATTACGCTGGTTATGCAAACTCCTCCTGAAGTCTTGGAGGCTCATGGAGTTACTCCGGCGGAGATTGAAGGTACCGTGGTGGAATTTGCTTTGCTTTGATCGAATGATCTTGAATTGTTGATTTCTGCTGTGAGCTCTAGTTTAGGAATTAGGGTTGCTTCTATTCTTTCTAATTAGCTAAGACTGCAATCTTCCTTTTGGCAGATATGCTGGAAGAGCTTCAAGACCATGTGGAGTCTATTGACATGGCCAACGGTGAGTCTCCCATGTCATTTGTTATTCTTGGTTAGGCTAATAGCAGTGGGCTGGTTCATTGTACACTTGATTGTTGTAATTATGTTGGTCAAGGGCATCTAAGTTGCTCTTGCCTGTGTTACCTTCATGCTATGACTACTTGTTTATGTGGTCGTTGAAAAGGCGAATGATATATGGTATGAAATCTGTTGACTAATTTCCTGAGTTTGTTCATGACAGATCTTCATTCTATAGGTGGTTTGGTCCCTCTACTTGGTTACCTGAAGAACACACATGCCAACATCAGAGCAAAGGCTGCAGAGGTAGTATCTACAATCGCCCAGAACAATCCCAAATGTCAGCAACTGGTGATGGAAGCAAATGGGCTTGAACCTCTCTTGTCTAATTTTGCATCAGACCCAGATGTGACTGTACGAACCAAGGCCCTTGGTGCAATATCATGTAAGTGGTGTTCTTGTTTGGTGGCCTTGCTTGTGTTAAAAGTAACTAGTTTCGACTACCCATCAGACTATGGTTAAGCACTTATAAGAATTCTCTTGCCTTGATTTCAGCCTTGGTCCGAAACAATAAACCAGCCATCACTGCATTCCGCCTGGCTAATGGTTTTGCAGGCTTGAGGGATGCTCTGAACTCTGATAATGTGAGATTCCAGAGGTACGTTTGACATACTTAGCCTACATTTTCCTTAACTTATGCTATAGCTCCAACAAGGTTGCTCATAGTTGTGTGTCAAATTACTGCAAATTCCAGGAAAGCATTGAACTTGATCAACTACCTCTTGAAAGAGAACACAGCAGATTGCACCACTGTAAACGAGCTGGGATTCCAACGCATACTCTTGCACCTTGCCTCGAGTGAACATGGAGATATTCGTGAAGCTGCCCTTGGTGTCCTACTGGAGCTTGCTAAGCACGATGTGGATGTGGAAAAAGTTGGCAGGTCAACTGAGGAAGATGAGAAATTGAAGGCACTTCTTGAAGAACTGATAAAAGGTATTAGCTTGATGTCCTCCGAAGATCTTGGTGCAGCTAAAGAAGAGAGGCAACTAGTGGACACTCTTTGGGAAACTTACTTCAACGAGCCATCATCCCTTCGTGAGAAGGGCCTCCTTGTTCTCCCTGGAGAGGATGCGCAACCACCTGACGTGGCTAGCAAGCAATTTGAGCCTCCTCTTAAAGCGTGGGCAGCAGCAAATAAGGACACCACCGCTGAAAAGAAACAGAATCCCCCACTTCTATTATGAGTTGGCCCTGCCTCAGGATCTGGCTAATGTCTCCGGCCCTAGAGAGCCGAGCAAAAGCAAAGAAGCATGAGGTGAAGCAGAGTGCAACTTTCCATCATTGTCAAGACTCCTGTATTCCTGCAAATCTAGTTTATTGATGTAGTACTTCTTTGATGTTAAGAGTTTAGCTTCAGCAGCACGTTCTCTTGATTCCTGGCCATTTCCTTCCTCTCCATAGAGAATCATCACCTGTTGTATATTTATATCGTTTGTTCATTTTGATACTCAACAGTGCAGGGAACTGAGTGTTCCTATTCGATTGCTAGTAATTTTCACGTAAGTTATATGTAACTTTCGTCTCTGAAGTATCTGTTTTAACTATTGAATTCCTGTGTCAAAGCTAGTTTACTGATTAGATGCCAAGTCAGAGCCCAGAGACAGCGATGAGACCCACTTCATTAATAGATTTACCAAAATGGGTCAAATAGGGTAGCCAATTGGTAAAAGTGGAAATCTCAATAGCTATCACAGAGAATGATATAGTTGAAAGGCTTCAAAAGTAAACCCCTTAAGACAAATTACAGATATCTCAATTTTCAAATCCATGAATTGTAAGTGAAACAACAATGGACACAAGAGATAACACTACTATTATCTCCAGGACTATACTAAGCGGGAGAGGAATCCTTTTCCATCCAAACTGAAATGCGAAAATGAAAAGACAACTGATATCAAACATGACTACTGTGAATGACCCAAATAAACTGAAAATCCTATGCAGCTACCTAGCTCCGCCATAACTCGCAGATTGGATCCTCTCCCCCCTTTTTCCTCTTCACTTAGGAGGGCAGAAAGTGATCACATACCGCGAAGCCCTGCACTTGTTGAGACTGGACGAATCATCAAAAGCATAACTATAAGCCTTGGGGCAGATAGCCTTGAACAGATGTGCGAACAGGGTAGGCTTGCAAGTATTTGGATTTGCATACTCCCCAGTACAACAATACTTGGCAGACTGCATAGCCAAGCAGGCACTCTTGCAACCCACGACTCTGCCATCTTTGCTCCTCAACTCCAAGGCCGACGGACAGCACACGTTCACGTCGACTTCACAGGAAGCGACCCCGCAACCGACACCACCTCCGACGGGCGCCATTGAAACCGGCAGGTTGAACCCATCCACCAAACTCACGTCGTAGAAATGCAGGGGAGAAGACGAGGAACCCAGGGTCATTTCCACGACGGTTGCTGGGGGCACGCCGCCGAGTCCCTGACAGTGAAGCATCCCAGAGCAGTCTCCAGTGTCGCAGGAGCCTCTTTTCCCACTCGGATCGAAAGAACAGCCCTGCCTTCCCCAGATTCTTCCCGACCATTTCTGAGGCACATCGAAGACTACTTCTTCACCGCTTCCCAGGTGGAAGCCGCCGTTCAAGGGCGTGGGCTGCCCTGCACTGCCGAGAATTCCTGGCCATATGCTCTCCTTGCAGTTGTTGACCAGAATCAGTTGCTCCCCACCTGCAAAAAACCAACAAGGAAATCGAAGATAATCACAAGATCAGAACTTGTACATGGAAAAAGCTGCTAACCTCGAGAAGAAGAGGTGGCCATGGTGGGTGGTGTTACTTGTATTTGGAATGAGAAGGAGCAGGGAAATGAGAAGGGAGAACATGACTGAAGAAGAAACTGGAAGTTGCATTTTGGGTTTTCGTTTTTGGTTCTGGAGCTCTGTTTGTAGTTTTGAAACAGGGGAAGTTCGTTGAAGATGGAGATTTGTGGAGGCAGAGAGGTGTTTAAATATAAAGGCTGAGACTTTTGGTTTGAAGCAGTGAGCGGAAGTTAAGGAAAGTGGCGGAAGTGGATTTGCTACATGGAAACCGCCATCAGGAAAATATGAAGTGGATAGAGTCACTCCTTCTCCCTCGCTTTTTTCTCTCTCTCTTCTTTCGCCCACCACTTTCACTTTCACGATCAAAGGGCATATATCCGTTGCTTGGGATGTGGGCTTCTTTCCTAAATCAACGCTACCATTCCCTTTATTATTCTACTAACTTAATCCTACGAAGCTAGTAGCAATAAGCAAGAGCATACTGAAATGGAGACAAAAAGAAGCAAAAGCAGAAATCCGACTAGATTGGCTTGCGACAAATGGAACCTACTACTAATACAGAAGTAATCATCATTAAGATAATTCTAAGGTTGGTCCTTTTAAATTTCTTAACTGCATAGAGAGGGGCTTTAAGGAAAGAAATTATATGGCTACCCTATTAAAGGGCAAAAGGAGAAGCTAGGTTAAGGGAGCATAATGATGGCTCGTGAGGCTTAACTTTGCTCTTCTTCCAGCACAAGTTCTTTCCTTGTGTAGACCCAAAGGGCATCCGCACAACACTCAGTTGAGCAGTTTTTCATTTGTTCCTGAAGCAGGAATTCAATTTCTGAATAAAATCAGTCTGGTGAGATGAATACCTTCCTCAGAATGTGCTCTGTCTTAATCTTCTGCAGGTTTTAAATAGTGGCATCCTCACTTTTCCTGATGAGACCATTTAATGAAGCTCACTTCCCAGGTAAACAGTCTCCCCCGCCCCCGAAACAGATCTCCGAGCTGAATTCTGAAGATGAAAAGTCCTGCTTTGAGAACAAAGCCAACGACAAACCATCTGCATGAAAATCTGAATTCTGTTTCCAACAAAGCTTGAAGCTTTTTGTCAGCTCCCAACCTCATGAGAAGATGTTAAGAGCAGCAGCACACATTCATAAACGAAAAAAGCTCCCATAACATTGTTGTGTTTTGAGTTAGGATCTTAAAAAACTCATATCCCTAATGAGATCTGGACTCAAATTTTCCTGATGGAGTCCAAGTATTTCCCAGAAATTAGATTCTTCAATTTATCACTGAAGGCATTCCTGCTATCGTCAGCTGAGGACAGAACAGGAGATACCTTCGCAACCAGAATGAAGTTTTCTCCATTCCCAACGTCTATTTCATACAACTCGCTGAAAATTTCTCTACACTGCTGTATCAAGTCATCATATACCAACCTAATCGAGGGAACAACATTCACTACCAGAATCCCGGATTCAGCAAGGATAGATCTCGCAGCAAACACAGTATGCCTCTCAAGAAATTCCACTGGTGGGGCAGTGATACCATTCCAGGCGTCCGAAGAGTCTAGATCAACCAAAACCACATCGAAACTGCCACTCTCAATGAGACAGCTCTTTTCCTTACCATCACTAGATTGTTTTCTTACACCAGCCAGTTCATCCACATAATCAAAGGCGTCTCCTACATGGATGGTAATTTCATTATCATCAAGCCCGAAGTACTGCTTGGCGATTCTTAAGACCTCCTTATCCATTTCCACTCCACAAACCTGAAACCCCAATTGGGATCTCAGGAAACTTAGCAGAGCTCCACCACCAATTCCCAAACACAAAGCTTTTGGCCTTAGACCATTTCGAATTTGTGTTTCGATACAATTAGCAATCAAGGAAAGGCTAGCCACCATGGCAACAAAGTAATGTTGAACCAGAACACCACAGTCAGGCTTGAGGCTCACATTTTCACCTATCTCCACACTAGAACTCGATACCAAAGCTGGAATAAGCCTAATCTCCGTTTGAACCAAGTTTGGCATTCTCTTAAACCTCAATCGCCTCCGGAAATCGCGATTGCTCCCATGATTCTCATCAAATTCAGACGAAGTATGCTCCATCTCGAGCTCCACATCCTCAACAAGCATTTCACCGACAAATTCCCCAACACTCGTCGTTAAGACCCTCCTAGAAATCACATTGTCTACATATTCACAAATGGGAACATCGGCGAATCCATTCTCTAATCCGCCAGCACCATCAGTCTTGAGGGACAGAGCCTCTAGCAGCGGTTTCAACATACTTCGAAGCTTTTCCAAAAATTGGATACCTTGGCTTTCGTCATAGCAAGTGACGGGCGACGAATCGGGATCATCGGCGGTAGGGTTTCTTCCTACCAGTACCAGCCTTGAGATTCCGGGGAAGGAGAGGAGTAGCTGGAGATGGCCGGCCTCCGTGGAGAAAATCCAGTCAGATTCGCGGTTCAGAGGAACAAATAGTGCTGCGACTTGAGATGGCCCACGGAGCGGGAAGGGTGAATCGAGGACGGCGACTCGGAGGAGGCGCAAACGGAGATCCGGCCGGGGAATCGTGAAGGAAAGGAAGCGAGAGGGAACTATAGATTCGAAGACTTTGACGTCGAGAGCCATTGCGATATCCGGCGGCCGTTTGATCGGAGTCTTTCTTCTATTACTCTCGGAATTGAAACGACAACGACATTTTCACTTTTCAGCAGATGAAGAGCCGTTTCAGGTTTCGCAAAGTCCAATTATATGTGATTCCCAAAATACATAATTTGTTAAAAAAAAAAAATCTAAGAAGGACACAAAATGTACAGATTTTATAAATAAGTTCAACAAATTTAGTCACTTTTATTAAAAACTTTAATCAATTATAGATTCCGTCAGTCACATTAATACCACGCTACATGCCCCATTGGGCAGCGAAGCGATCAAACGGCCAATAAAAGTGATGACACTTATGAATCCATAGATCTTCTTTTTACCTCCTTCACTCCAACTTTCATTTTAATTTTCTCAATGTGTCAATGCGCTAGTGCATTATAGATGAGAAATCACCATGCATTAGTAAGATGAAGATTATCCATGGTTGTTTTAGGTATTACGAGACCTCGTGCCTAGACAATCACTAGATCACCAAACAAGAGACATAATTACTACTATTGCAGACGAGAAATCACAAACAATAGTATGTCTATCAGTAAGATTGAAGCGGGATAAATCCAAGTCATTCGATCTTAACTCGATTTGTTTTTCACTAAGCAAACTTGGTTGCACTAGGTGAAGATACCCTAAGCATCATTCCCTTTACTTTGCTTTCAACCACTTTAAGCTACTTCTCTTTACTTTATGCATAATAAACACATCACTTGAGGCACCTCAACCCCAATTGAAAACTCGAAGCATCTATAGTGGAAATGAAGTAGACATTGTTGGAGGTCGTGTGGAATATGATCTTAGATATCTGTTGAGCTTATAATTATTTCTCGAGACAAAATCGTACAAGGAACAATATTCTTAGAGCAACTCATCCATTTTCGGCGGAGGAAAGATAGAGGTTCGTCAGGAATTTGTGAGGATGTGGATTGTAGCATAAAGTCTAGGAACATTTTGTTGTTATGTGAGATCAGATTTAGCCACAACGAGCATACCCAAAATTTCCTTGACTGGTGGAAGGAAGAGTGGTGAAGAGTGGTGTGAGTGAATAAGAAAATGAGGGTATTTATAGGGTATGGGGGTAAACGGTTCCTGCCAGACTGGAGCGATCAAGGTGGGGCCATTAATCTTAAAAACGATGAACAAATGTCTTTCTTTATCTTTGGTAATGTGTCGTGAGGAACAAAGATCTGGTCAAGTGGTATCACCACTCGTCTTGAACATTGAGGTCTCATGTTCGAATCTCTTAAAAAGCACCTAACTATGAAACAAACCTATCTATATCGCAATTATAAAGAAAATCATAAAGCTCTGCTACGAATCGCTTCTAAGTCAAGTGGTCAACCGTCATGTATCGTTCATCCAGTGAGGGTGGAGTGATACGCGTCGTTTCGCTTGTATGAATAAAATGCTTCTAGCATGAACAATGTGATCACTGCTAAGTGCATTGTCATGCTATTGATCGCTTTTCGTTTATCCATACTATGTCCATACTCATTTGAGTTTCGGGTATCCACGGTTATTTATGAGTAATAATTTCTCTTTATAACTCATAACAACATGTTAACATATACACGTATACTCACATTAGATAAGTGAAAAAGTACTATAATAATTCATTATAATTAAGAAAATTAATTCCAAACAACATAATTTCATGAAAATATTATATTTGTATGCTAAATATAAAATATGTTAAGAAAAATTAGGGTTAATTGCATGTTTGGTCACTGAAATTACAAAAAGAGTTCATGTTTGGTCACTATAAATATTTAAATCCACTTATGGTCACTAACTTTACAAAAACCGTTCATTTATGGTTACTCTCCGTTAGCTGCTGTCCAACGCCGTTAACGGCGTCCGTTAAATGATGACGTGGCTGACGGATTTGCCTATTCAGCACTTTTTAACCCCAAAATTGACTGACCCGACCCGCCACGTCATTTAAACCCGCCATGTCAGCTAAACCTAACCAAACCTCTATCCAAATCCGACCAGACCCGCTAACTAAAACCAAACCAGACCAGACCCCAAAAATTGTTTGACTAAAACCCTAATCAAAGAGGAAATGGAGGTAGAGAATGAATTACTTGCTAGCGATGTTAGCGAGGAGTTTATCGGAGCCGAAGCACTCCAAGCTCAGAGAAACCAGACCACCGCAGCTCCGATCGACGGCCTGCGCGTAGAGCGCCTCCACATCGGTAACTCGCTCCCAGGAATAATGGCTGATGTCGACAGATCTCCAGATGTACGGGTCCCGGCAGACCTTCCGCCACGAGGAGCAAACTAGCTGAGCAATCCCCAGGCGATCCGCGGGACTGAGATGCGCCATAATCACGGAGAGCAACTCCGGGGAGAGACCCGCCCAATCCCGAACTAACGCAGATCCGTCGTCGAGTGGCTGCTTCTGCGGCAGGGGTTGTTGTGGATCCATCAGATTCAGCTTTTTCAAGGGAGAACAAGGAGTAGATACGGAAGAGGATGTAGCGCCGCCGTGAAGAATTCGAGCGTGAGGGTTGGTATTTAGTCTTCTCCTGGGAGGCGTACTTGTGGTTGTGGAGGTAGCCATCGTATTCTCGCACGCAAGTCGGTAGGCCTTGGCCGTCTGAGTCTCCTTCTCCTTCTTCTACTTCTTCCAGCTTTAATGGAGTCCGTTCTCTCTCTCCTCACGGGGGAGAGATGGAGGCAGTCTTTGATAAGGGTTTTAGTCAAACAATTTTGGGGGTCTGGTCTGGTTTGGTTTTAGTTAGCGGGTCTGGTCGGGTTTGGGTAGAGGTTTGGTTAGGTTTAGCTGACATGGCGGGTTTAAATGACGTGGCGGGTAGGGTCAGTCAATTTTGGGGTTAACAAGTGTTGATTAGACAAATCCGTCAGCCACGTCATCACTTAACGGACGCCGTTAACGGCGTTGGACGGCAGCTAACGGAGAGTGACCATAAATGAACGGTTTTTGTAAAGTTAGTGACCAAAAGTGGATTTAGATATTTATAGTGACCAAACATGAATGCTTTTTGTAATTTCAGTGACCAACCATGCAATTAACCCGAAAAATTATGATCATTTCTTGATAAAATGCATATGAATGTGTATAATTAGGTGGATTCTGGATAATTCATTATAATTAAGAAAATTAATTCCAAACAACATAATTTCATGAAAATATTATATTTGTATGCTAAATATAAAATATGTTAAGAAAAATTATGATCATTTCTTGATAAAATGCATATGAATGTGTATAATTAGGCGGATTCTGGTTGGTTAGTGACAAAATCATGCTCACCCATTATCAACAATATTCAAATTAGTATTGTACCCGTATCCACTAAAAATCCTTTGAATTCGAATTTAATGCTAGCCGATTACATCGAATTCTAGGAAATATCTATGATTTAAAATATTTTTGCCATCCCTCTCCATATGATATTGAGAATTCTTAGAACAACTTTTTACATTTTGAGGGGGGGAAAATCAAATATCTTAGAACAATTCTTAGAACAACTCGTTGACTACAGACTACAGTTGCGAGTTACACACCGCGCTGCTCCTGGTGGTGACATCATAGCACCGCTTTGAACTGGGAGAAATTGGATTTACTCTAAAATGTAAAATCCACTTTGGCTTTCCCCCGCCAAACCCCACCGTTTTCGCTTTACTGTTCTCACGAACTTCTCCGATCTTCTGCCAGTCTGCCACCCTAATAGAATAGAGAACTCATCTGCCGCTGAATTTTAGAGGGTTTTCGAAATTTCCTACCGCCAGCGGTTCCAGAAGAATCGAAGGATTACATTTAGCAAGATGATTCGATCGGCGTTCAGACTATCCCGAGCTGCAATCACCGTCGCAAGGACGGCGCATTCGGGATTCAACTCCCGCAAGCTTGCAATTGTTGCCCCATCGGCGGCGGCGGCGTCACGGTCGCTTCATGAGAAAATCGCCGGTCCCAATGCCAACCCAGTTGCCATTCAGATGATAGACTACGCTCTCTCCCTTCCGCGCGTTCAAAAGTCAGGTACTTTTTTATTAGTTTAGTTTCCATTTCTAATTCCGTCCTTTTGTGTCTCGGGGTTTCTGAAGTGAGTTGTCAATCAGAGGAATCGTATGGGGAAGCTATGCTGGTGCTGGAGCAGTGCCTTGCTTCTCAGTCGAGTGATGTTGAAGATTTTGTGACCCAAAACTCCAAGGGAATGGTGCTACTCGCCATGGCCAATCTCTCGTTTGACAGGTTCTGGCTTGCTAACCTAGTGGTAATCAATTTTGTGCATTAGTTTCTCCTGTGATGTTCATGTTGGTTGGTCTTGATGGTTAAGGGGGAACTTCAACGAGGCATTGGAGCATCTACGGAGAAGTCATGAGCTGGAGAAGACATCTTTGGGTGTTAAAGGTTGGAACTTTCTCTTTCTCTTATGTACTTTCTATAGCGAATTGGTGATACAGACGTATAGTTGTGTTGTGTTGTGTTGCAGTTGCTGCACTGGAAGCTCTTGCTGGACTGAGCTTGGAGTTGGGGAATGTAAGTCATCTAGACAATTTCTTCTCTCCCTTTGAGATTGGTGATGTTGTGTTTTTCTTACCTGGGATTTAGAATTTATCTGGAGATGGTTTTCCCTTATATAGGATGATGCTTCATCAGTGCTCGCAGATAAATGTTTAGAACTGTTGGAAAAAGATGAGTTAGCCAGTACCAGTGCTGGGTTTGAGGTTGCAGAAGCTCGTGCTAAGGCACTCAAAGGTTTTGTTGAGTTTGTTCGTGGCAATTTTCAAGCAGGTTTGTTGCTTCAAATGGCTTTGCTTTTCGTGGTTTTTGGTGCTAATATTATGTCGTCTAATTAACTCAAACCCGTGGCGGCTTGTACATAGCGGAATTACTGTTTGGAGGATTACAGGGAAATGATCACTGTGCTGGTAAGCATCTCAGTTTTGGCTTTTAAGCCCCCTTGGAATGTACACTCATGGACTGCATTACTGATTTCATGTTTTATAGGGTCTGCTGCTTTGTCATATGGAGAATTCTTGCATGCCACACGAAATTTCTCAATGGCTAAGGAATTGTATCAGAAGGTTACTGAAGGAGAGGCTGGGAACAAAGGTTTCAATGACATCAATGCATTAGCAGCTTGCAACATGGCTTCAGATCAAGTTCAGATAGCAGCCACTTGTGCCCTGGGACAGCTTGAAGCACACATTGGGTACCCTTCTACTTCGTTGTGCTTCTTCTGTGAACACATTTACTTTTATATCTAATATCCGTTTTCAGGAAATTTGGCGATGCGGAAGAAACATTAACCAAGGCACTGAATAAGGCTGAGTTACTATATGGTGCATCACTTCAAACTCTCCCTTTCAGTGTTCTGCTGTGAAAAGATTTCATCCTTGATATCTTGTTAATCTCATTTCATTATCGGCTATATTCTCATGTTCCTGTGGTTTAGGTCCTCGCCACCCTAGGGTTGGAGTGGTCTTGACTTGTTTGGCACTCATGTTCCGACAGAAAGCGATACAAGAACACTCAAGCTCTCTCTTGATTCAGGAGGTCTGATTTCTGACATTCAATATTTGTCCAGTCTTAGAATCTTGCTATGACTATATCTGTCCCCGGCTTAGCCATTTATTCACAGAGTTTAACTCATTGTTTCTGTCCTATCTTAGAATCTTGTTATGACTATACCTGTCACCAGCTTCTCAGCCATTTATCATTTGCCTTTAACTCTGATCATTCACTCATGCTTTTCATTTGCGCAGGGGCTGTATAGAAAGGCAATCGAGTTGCTGAAAGTCCCATCGGTGGATTCTGAAGGTACTCGAGAGTTCTTTATGTCTAAGGTCCTTTTCCCACTTTGTTTTGAGAACATTAAAACCCAAAGCTGATATTTTTTTCTTAAAACTTCCTAGTTAATCGAACAATGGGAGCTTGGAGGGACGTTGCAGCACTTGCAAGAGGTAGGGTTTGAACATTTTTTCATCTTTGTTCTCAGATCGTTTTATTGTATGAAGCCACACAACAGTCGCCCCACGTCGAGCCAATTAACAAGCGGGATATTTCGTACGACAATGCAGCTGGCTACGGAGAAGCACTTTGTGTTCAAGATAACAGAAAGAGTGAAGGAGAGAAGATGAAAAGTTGGGCAGAAGCTCATTGGAGAAACAGCCACTTAACTCTTGCTGAGGCGCTCAGAATCACCGAATCCTCGAACAGAGTTCCAGTGATAGATGCTCGAACTGGTAGAGCTCTGTAACTGTAAGCTCATGCTCAAAGCAGAAGAATAACAGCTGAATGCTCTACTTGTTGTACAGAAAATGATGTAACCATTAGAGACATCTCTTTGAAGAAATAAACTTTTCTGTACTAGTACATTCTCCCAGAGAGTTACCACATAGTATGTCAAATCCAAAGTACAAAGATTGAATACTTTTACAGAGGAATATCCAGGCCCTTCCCAATCTCAACTCCAATCACTTCAAGTATGCCTCTGTGTATTATCTGCATTATCAAAATCGCAGCAGTCAGAATCGGGGAAGTTCATTGATTCATGCAAGCCAATAGAAACTCATAATGTGGAGATCGAACAAAAGGCGTCTTATTTACCAGTTCGACGATGAAAGTCCCAATTAGGCCAATCATGCAAGCCCTGGAGTTCCAGGTTTCAGCAGTCTTGGTAAAGCCTAGGAATGGGGCTTGGAACTTGGGCTGAACTTTTGGCTGCACCACCTACAATCATGGAAAAGCGAAAGCAATGTATTTTATTCAAGGAAGGGAAGATTTTGGAGGAAGGAGAGAGATAGCTGAAAGGTAACAAACATACACCAGCAGGAAGCCTGGCGGCTTGGACTCTGAAAGAAAGCTGCTTCTGGGCGGGTTTGCTGGTCTGGGTGTTGAAAGGCAGCAGCAGGAGCTGGTGCGAGGAACGTTGAAAGGTGAGAGCTTTAGCAGGGAGAAGAGATGGCGACGAAATGGAAGACAGAGAAGCCATTGTCGTTGAGAAATGAAGGAGCTCTTTCCCGACCTTTGTTACAGTCGGATGAATTTCCGAGCGTTCTTCGCTTCTTATCCACACGACGATTCTGGTGGGCCTGCTCATTCCAATTTTAAGTGGCTGTGGTGTTATTTTGGGGCCCGTACTTCTCTACGCTTCACGTTGTCCAATTCTATTTTAGGGAAGACGTGTCAAAATCTCATACTAAGGAAGTTTGGTATCAGAGTAAGGTTGAAGAAGACGTTATCCGTAGGGATGTCAATTTCGACCTGACTCGATTTACCCGACTTGTTTGATCTGTTTTGGGGCGGGTCAAACCTGCCTCGTAGGCGGGGCGGGGCGGGCATGGGTACCTCTCATCGACCCGACCTGCCCTGACCCGCCCCATTCTCGACCAGTTCTTGCCTAAATTACATATAATCTTAGTCAAATTACTTAAGATTTTCCTCTTTTTACATTATATTTTAGCTATAATAAAGTTGTAAATAAGCGAAAACCTCAATTTCTTCAATAATTTAACTACATTTTATCATATTATGGTTTCTTTCTGGTCTTTCAAAGAAAAGAATGAATATTTCTAATGTTTTTCACATAAATTACATACCCAATGGGTCGACCTATCCCGACCCGCGCCCCATGATAAATTACCCGACCTGGACCCGACCTGCGATGGGGCGGGTATGGGTATCGAGATACCCGCCCCGGACCTGCCCCATTGCCATTCCTAGTTAGCCGTTGAGATCTTGTCTAGTGCTTAACTCGTTTAAACGTAGTCTAAGCATTGTTAGGCGTTTTGTTGAGCAGCGGGGGAAGCCAAACATACATTATTTCATTTCACGCGTAGAAAAGTTACATCGTTCTTATTACAATCATGTATGTAGAATAAAATACTAAAGTTCTATTTACTACCTATAATTAAGAACATTTACATATTACATTATAAACTATATATATATTAGTTACAATCAAGTCCTGAGCTAAAATCAAATAAAATAATATCTCCATTTGGTTTGTCCGAGATGTTCACTTTACGGTCCCAAAACCGATCGAAGAGGCCTCGAAAGATCTGTATTACGAATGCCGAAAACGGCAAGAATAAGGTGACGAAAGCAAACGTTCAAGTAGTAGATCGTACTGGATTTATAGCCAAAGTGCAGGAAGGCGAGGGTGCACCTATCTACAGTGGAGAATTTAAAGATAGAGGGCACTAAGGTCTCATAGTATGTTATAGCTTTAGTTAGCGAATAGATTCAATCAAGACATCCTACGTAAAGTTTCTCAACAACAATTTTTGAATGGAGTAATTAATTCTTTTTCCCTTTCAACAGAATGTATTGTGTGCTTCTCCAATAACTAATTATCTTCCCATTTCCTCTTCTTCTTGTTTCCAAGTTTCAATCTGCTCCCCAGATTCCCATTAAAAATAGAGAGATCAACATGGGAATCATCTTTACTACCACCACCACCACGGTCTGTACATAGAACAGTCACCGGACTCCAAGGAGACGATCTGCTGCTGCTGCTGCTGCTGTAATCCATCTCCATTTCCACCATCAGCCCATGGCATCTAATCACATCATCCTGCTCAAACAACAGAGTCAGAGAAATATTGCATTAACATTAGAATTTTGTTTTTGTTTTTTTGTAACAATGAATCCTTTTTGTTTCTGGAGTAAACTAAACCCCAACCTTGTGAATACTATGGTCTGTGAGTCGAGAAATGATACGAGTAGCGAGATCAGAATAATGCGGGTTGGATGAAGCCAACTCTTGTAAGCTGCACCAAACCGCTGATATGGCTACTGAACTTGGACGATACTCCACAAACTTGGACTCTGCAACCAAAGTTGGAATTTACTTAAAAAAAATTCTTGGGCAGTTAGTTACTAACTTAGATTAGAGAAGTCGTCGTCGTCATTATTAGTTAGTTACCAAGCAAAGCCTCGAGGAGGAAACTGGTGGCTGTAGCTGATAATTCCTGCCCAAGTTTGTGTATCCGATTCGAGGAAGGACTCGAATCGGCAATGCTGATGAGGAGAGGTTCGAGGTAAGAGTAACTAGTGATGGAGGCAAGCCGCCATTGGAGTGACTGTAAAAGCAGCAGTTCCATCTGCTGGATTGTGATTGGTCGGAAGCAATGATTCATCTCCTCCATCTTTCGAAGAAGATCCAATGTGACACATTAATGTTAATTCATTAATTCAGGGCCAAGTGGGGGGAAAAAAGATTTGGGGGAGGTTAAGTAGATAGGTACCTGGAAATCGTACAAGGAAGGTGCATTAGTCTCGTTGAACTTGGAAGCAACAGATAAACAGGCTACTGTCACAAGTTCCACCATCCATGTTTCCCATTCCTGCCAAGCCAAAAACAAACCCCTTAATTTGCTTTGAATGTTGGGTCATTGATTAATGTGACGTTAATACAACAAAAGATTAGTAATGCTCACGAGGCTTCGATGCATAGACAGGAAGCGATCGAGATAGTTGGAAGCACTGAAGACTGTTGAAACAGATAGATTCAGTCGACTGCACCACTGCCAAAACCCCAAAAACAGAAGGAAAAAAAAACACAGTCAGCCACCTAGTAATTAGTTAAAGTCGTGATTTTTTGGATAGGAATGCAAGGAGAAGGTTAAGATGGGTAGAAGAAGAAGAAGAAGAAACCTTGAGTAGCCACTGAATTGCTGTGCGTCGTGCAAGCAACAAGCTGGTGGAGCGAGCAATGCAGTGGAGATAGGCAGCTGGTTGAGGCAGCATGTAAGTGGCCTCCTTTTCAATGAACATGGCAACAGACTGCTCGCACTCTTCCTTGGTGATACTGTCGAGGCAACTTGAATCACAGCAGCAACTTCCAACATTTCCGCAACTGGGTTCGTTGCAGTAAGCAGTAGGTGATGTGGTTGTGGGGCTACAGAGCAAGACCTCGTCACAGAGGAGAAGACTGTCCATAATACGTGAGTGAGTGAGTGATTGCAGAACATTGTGCATATGGCATGGCGGCAGCAATATATTATACACGAGGAATCAGAGAGGTGAATGCGGTTGGATGAAGGTGGTGGTGATGGTGGTCGAGGGTGGGAGGTTGTTAGAGAATTGAGAGTAGTGGCATAAAAGTCGGGACACGTCCCTCATGAAATGGGATAAATGCTACGCTCGAGGGAAATGAAATGACATGCGCTGATGCGCTGCGCTGAGCTGGGGGAGTAAGTTAGCCTTAGACCTTAGTAGTTTCTGGGCTGGACAAGGAGGGAGGACAACCAATGATATTGCGTGAACGCAAGGGGGAGTTTTTAAGCCTCCAATAAATGACCAACTCAACTGTCCCTTCATGATTATCACAACCAATATGCTTCAATGATCTTTTCTGTGTGTTTTCTTTCTGTCCAGCAGAGTTTTCTGTGAAACCATAATCGAACCGGTGACCGGTACCATACATAAACTAAACCAGGTCAAACATCTATCACCGTTGTTACATCAACAAGGTTAGCGCAAACCTATTTCATGTCCGTAGTCGATAAAACATTCAAACAGAGTTGCTTGCCCCTGGCTGGATCAGATTCTTCCTGCAAGGCCACTTGTACATACTACAGACTTCACACTGAAAGAAGTATCACAAAAGCTGATAAAAGCTACTCAACATCTTTGGTGCTCATTATTCTCGTGCAACAAGCGGGGCGGTGTTACATCTCACTGTAACTCGTAGGACGAAAAACTGAAGCCTGTTTTCCCCTCGTTTGCCGATTTGAGTTCCAGCTTCTGAAACGGGCTGCAGATTTTGATACGAGTGAATATTTAGGTCAGTCGTGGCTTTAGATAGAAAGAGCCAAGTCGTAACTATGGCATGTGATAAATGTCCGACTTTTCATCATAAAATATTGTCCATTTAAGTAAAGAGACAAGAGTCGCACGCCTAGGATCTACTAATTACCTGCTGTTAGGATCATAATAGAAGCCATTGATGGTAACATCAGCGCAAGAGAAGCATACATAGTAAAATCCAGCTATGGTTAATCCACAGTCTGTTCCGACGTTCACAAAGTACTGTTCCTTCCATCTCTAGACAAACAACAAAGCAAAGGCGATTTTAGTAGGATGCAACAGTGTTCCTTCTCTATCAACTACTCAAGAAACTACAGGAAAATATATTACCATGAATATGAATGGATAGTTACTCAAATCCAGAGATTTGCCGCCATCAGCCTGAACTTGACTCTGCAATGAATTCATCGAGTCCTTAGTAATTATTGCCAATATCACGAATCCAGAGAATAAGTTCAAACGAGCTTTACCTGAAACGGCGCAAAAGATGGAAACTTGGTCCAGTGCTTTATATCATCATCTGGCCTGTTGAGTACTTTACAGTTTATTTAAAAGTGACAGTAGCCATTTCAAGGCTGAATACGCAACTCAAAAGATAACCATGCAAATGACTTCAGCACCAAGAGTGCTAACAAATATCATTGACCAAATACAGGAAAACTAGGATGAAAGATCACTTACATTGCCTCCCATTTCCCAGTGAAGAACGTGTAGTTCTTGATGTCAACAATCTCCCCTTCCCAGAAAGTTACCACCTGTGTAGTACTAGCAAATGAACTTTGAAATGGAACACACAACTCTCCCACTCTAGCATCTATGTATTTTCACAAGTTTATCAAAGTGAAGAGTTCATGAGTAGAAGACCAAGACTCTTAAATGAGATTGAAAGAAATCTCATCTTTTCCTTTAGAATGTGGTATGAGAGAAGCAATCACATTAAGATATCTATAAGAAGCGTACCATTGAGACCATGAAAAAACGGGAACTAACACCAAGAAATCTAGAGCTGGGACACAATCTATTTACTGGTGAATCTGCCTTTGGAACATTAATAGTTTTCATAGCGCCACAAAGGCAACCCTGATCCAGACTAAAAAAATACAATTCTTCCACTCTAGTATATTTAATTTAATATGTTTATTAAAATGAACCACTTTGCAGTTGGATAGACTCGAGACTCTTAAATGAGAACCAAGCGAATTTCATAATTTCCTTTTACATGCTCACTATATGCAAAATCAATCACATTCGCACGTACCATAACTTATGATTAAAATCATTCCAAAATAAAAGGACTGTAAGAAATCAATACTAAACAGCTAGGCCAAGGACACGATCTATTTGCTGGTGAATCTGCCATTAGAACATGAAGAGCTTGCATAGTCCCAAAGAGCTAATCCTGATTCAGTTGATAGACTCATGACTATTAAACGAACTGTTTTGCAGTTAGATAGACTCATGACTATTAAACGAGATCCACAGGAGTCTCGTATTTTCCTTTGGCATGCTAATAACTAGTGGATCAATCAGATTTGACACGTAAACAAAGTCTATGATTACAATCATGGGGGAAAAAAGAGAGGAAGGACTAACACATCAAGAAAATAGAACTACAGCAAGGACAAAATGCCATTGGAACTGTAGGATCTTTAATGGCTGCTCAGTGGTAACCCTGATCCACTCAGAAAACACAATTCCTCAAAACAATTAAATGAGATTCACAGGAGTCTCATCTTTTCCTTTCGAATGCTGATGATAACCAAATCAATCTCATTTCAGATACGACACGTGCAAAGAAAATCAAAATTATGAAACTGGAGCTAGGAAACGATGTATTTACTGGTGTATCTGCCATTGGAACATTAAGAGCTTCCATAGTGCCACATAGATAACCCCTATCTAAATCACATCCTTGAATTCGGACGTTAACTTTCCAAGCCTCTTGTTTTTGTAAGCTAGAAACATTCTGACTTCCAGAAAAGGCCTGTACCAACCAAATGATCATATGGTGAATGAGTCATACACCGCCAAAGTTTAAACAACAATTTCGCACAAAAAGAAGGACCAACATAAAAGATGAATTCTTTTTGCCAATTCAATATCATGGTATCACCTGCCCGACGCTCAACAGGGAAGAAATCTGCGGCGAATGGTGCCCGGAGTTCGGCCCTGCACAACCAAGCACACTTTCCAGCCTAGATAAACGAGCATTAAACTCAAATCCAGAAATTTTCTGGTGGACGAATCCAAATGATATCATTGAGAGGTAATGAAATAGTGATTGAAACAATGATTGTTCGAATCTCAGCCCGAAAACCCTAATTTGAAGAACTCCAGCAGCCAGGGTGCAGTGAAGTACCTGAAACTTGAGAAGGGACTGAGCTTTCCACCACCCTGACAGGCATTTTGTCAATTAATCGGTCGGCTTGCTCTTTGTGGAGAATTGCTGTTGAAGATACTCGTGGAGAAAGCTCCCGGCGTTCCTCTAATCGGCTCCGGCAATTTTGGGGGTATACTGTCACTCCACTCGATAAGAAGGTAAATTATTCTTCCAGTTCCAGGGGGTCGTAATGAGGCTCCCGCGTTCATTTGGCAAGAAAATAAAATCCGAACGGCGGTTCCGTTTTCTTTGCGAAACCTATTTCGACCATTGTTCCGCTAAGTGAGTTAATCCCTGTTTTCAGAACCGGATCGGACGTTGAATTGGAAAAGTAATTGGTTTAAAGTTTTATGGTTAACTGTTACAAAATCGATGGTCAATTGTTAATAGTATCATTTATGATATATAATAACATACAAGATTTGTATAATACAATAATTTAAAAATGAAGTTATCATTCACCACAAACCATTTCAAATTCATATCATTACCAAAATATCTAAATAAGTATTCAAATCGTCTCACAAAAGAAATCATAATTTTATTAATTGAAGCTAAATTTTGGTGCCAGTGGATAGTGGACCATGTAAAGTAAACAACGAGGTTGGAAAATGAGAAGAGGAAGCAGAAATAAAATTAATAATTCTTCTTTGATGGTCTTAATTTATGTTAAATTATTTTTAAAAAAAGTTTTGTGGTTAAAATAGTGAACTAATAGGCCAGTTAAACCGTGGTGGTTCATCTGGTTTTATGTTGAAGCGTGAAAATCGTTTGGTCCATCAATAGTCATCCAAGCAATGGATCGGCCAGCATATCGTAACTGGTTTGGCGGTTCTACTGGCCCACCCGCTGATCTAGTTCGATTCATATAGCAACGGTTAAAGATTAATGGTCGAATTGGTATAGTGAGAATATATGAAAAATAACTATACTGTATGTATATGTATAAATAATTTCAAGTCTCAATAATTATTTAAATAGTCGAACTTAGATAAAATATAGCATAAACATATAAATCAACATAAAAACGTTTACACTTAAATCCAACATACAGTAAAACTTCTAAGTTCTAACATAATTCAATTAAATATTAACATTCAAATATCCATACTTAGATTTCAAATATAAAAAATCTAACTAGTCAATCTTCGAGGATAAACCATACATCTACATTACATCTATGAATGAAAGTTGTCCAAATATTTCATCAATCAGAAGATATTCAAATAATTTTTTTTAACTTCATTCATGAGTGTAGGCAACAATAGGCGATCGATGACAATTTTGACCTGATCCGTTTTATCCAACCTGTTTGGCCTATTTTGGGACGAGGCGGGCATGGGTACCTCCCATCGACCCGACCTACCCTATTCTCGACCCGTTCTTGCCTATATTACATGTAATCTTAGTCAAATTATTTAGAATTTTCCTCATATTACCTCATTATTTAGCTATAACAAAGTTGTAAATAAGTGAAAATCTCAATTTCTCCAATACTTTAACTACATTTTATCATATTATGATTTATTTCTTGGTCTTTTAATGAAAATAATGAATATTTTTAAATTTTTTCCACATAAATTACATACCCATTGGATCGACCTGCCACGACCCACGCCTCATGACAAATTACCCGACCTGCCACGGGCAGGTATAGATATCGAGATACCCGGCCCGGACTTGTCCATTGCCATTCCTAGGCAACAAATGTCCACAAGTAAGCTACGTTATAAAATATCGCAAGACATAATACAAATCAATTTGCAGTTTAGTGGTGAAGTTGTTGATTTAAAGTTTGAGATCCATTGTTCAAAAGTCTTATTTTAAAATTCCACTTTCTTTAACTTTGCTTTCTTTTGAGATACTAACCAGTGTGAAATCGACCATATTTCCCTAAAATATTTAGTAGAATGTTTGGATGGGAGTTTCTTAAGTTTAATATTTGAATTAAACTGTAGGAAGAAGAGAGGAAGACCTTGGCATGGCAGCCTACGTACGTCACAGATCCCATGTTTGAATTGTTCAATGAGATGGAAACCTGGGCACATTTTATTATATGGGTAACTGAATTTGTACTCATCAATTACTAGTAGTCACCATAGTAGCTTATCAAACATGAAGCTAATGATGTCTCAAGTAATTGCAAAAAATAGATAAGCAATGAATATATAGGTGCTCCCGTGAAGCTAGCCCTAAGTGATATCATGATCATCACACGAAAAAAACCAAAGTAATGTTCACGATTACTTAATTAGCTCGAACAATATCAGCAACCTTTTTGCTTCAATCTCTATAAATTGTCAGGCCTTCAGCTTCATTCAAACAAACATCCAATTATCTCAACATGGCCAAGTTCACAATACTACCCCTCCTCTTCCTCCTAGCCATGGCTCTCCCACTACTCCTAGCCGTGTCAGGATCCATACAAATCACTACCGAGGTGGATTGTGGTTCCAGCCGTGGAGATGTCGAGGGGAGCTCCCGTGATCCTATCAATGTCGTCGAGCCAGAGGGCGAAGTGGATGAACAACTGGATGATGATCATCAGGGTTTCTTCGAGGGCGAGGAAGAGGCTGGATCCATGTCTGGCGACGTGGAGCTAGAGAGCGATATCAATGACCAATATGACGATGAAGGCTTGTTTCAGGATGAGGCCGAGGATGAGGCTGGCTCCATGCCTAGCGTCGTGGAGCTAGAGAGCGATATTGACGAACAACTTGGTGATGAAGGCTCGTTTCAGGACGAGGACGAGGATGACTCCATGTCTAGCAACATGGAGCTAGATAGCAATATCGATGACCAACTTGATGATGAAGGCTCGTTTGAGGACGAGAACGAGGATGGCTCCATGTCTGGTGATGACATGGAGCTAGAGAGCGATATCGATGATGACCAATATGATGATGAAGTCTTGTTTCAGGACAAGGCCGATCAGGATGAGGACGATGCTGGCTCCACGCCTAGCGACGTGGAGCTAGAGAGTGATACTGATGAACAACTCAGCGATGAAGGCTCGTTTGAGGACGAGAACGAGGATGGCTCCATGTCTGGTGACATGGAGTTAGAGAGCGATATCAATGATGACCAATATGATGATGAAGTCTTGTTTCAGGACGAGGCCGATCAGGATGAGGACGAGGCTGGCTCCACGCCTAGCGACGTGGAGCTAGAGAGCGATACCGATGAACAACTCGGCGATGAAGGCTCCTTTCAAGACGAGGACGAGGATGGCTCCATGCCTAGCAACGTGGAGCTTATAGGGAGTGATATCAATGAACAACTTGATGATGAAGACTCGTTTCAAGACGAGGCTAGCTACATAGCAATGCCAACAGATAATCGTAAACAATCAGAATCATCCTATTCGGATGATCATGCCGACGAATTCGACTCGGAGGAGAGTACAAGTTCGGAGGATAATTTGGGCGTTCCGGTAAGGAACGTGGTAACGCAGGCATTCTTCAACAGCATAATAAGGAAGGCACCTCCAAACTGCAAGGGGAAGCGATTCTACACCAGGGCTGCTTTCCTCACCGCGACCCGATCCTACCCTCGGTTCGGCCAGCTCAAACCTGACCCTGCCGCTAAGCGCGAGATCGCCGCTTTCTTCGCCCATGTCACCCACGAAACTGGATGTAAGCTTTCGTTTTTTCATTAGTAATTTCCAAATATCGTACTAATAGAGCTGCTCGATTTCGATTTCGGTATTATGTGCTGAAAATGCATGCATGCATGCAGCGTTGTGCTATACCGAGGAGATAAAGAAATCGCGGTACTGCGACCCGAAGGCGAAGCAGTGGCCGTGCGCCCCTGGGAGGCAGTACTACGGGCGGGGCCCGCTCCAGCTGACGTGGAACTACAACTACGGGCCGTGCGGGCGAGCCAACAGGTTCGACGGCCTGAAGAATCCGGACATCGTGGCGAGGAACCGGGTGGTGGCCTGGAAGGCTGCGCTGTGGTTCTGGATGAAGAACGTCCGGCCCGTGGTGGGCCGCGGGTTCGGGCCCACGATTCGGGCCATCAACGGCGCCCTGGAGTGCAACGGGAAGAATCCTGCTGCTGTCAAAGCTCGCGTCGACTTCTACAGGGCCTACTGCAAGCGCTTCGGTGTCGCACCGGGGCCTAATCTCACCTGCTAATTATCAAAACATTTTACAGCAGCGTACTGCTATTGAACATTTAAAACTTTGCCAATGCGTGTGTTGCTTGTTTCGTATTGTACTTTTATCTTTTAAGAATCAGAATAAAAGGTCTCGATCAATGAATCGTATTCATTTTTCACTAATCTTTTAATCACTAATCTTTTATACGGAACGAAATATGTAACCAACTAATTATGTGAAGTTCAATGGGCGCATATTGAGAAAGACATCATAGAATATAGATGGTTAGGAAAAATAAAACCACACATATATATGAGTATGCGGAAAAAGAATGTTAAACAATATGCAAACTTAAACCGAAATATAATTTGACACAAGAATGACGTGGTTTTCTCGTCCAGGGAGAACGAGGCTAGTCCATGGCGGAAGCTGAGTAAAACTCGTAATAGTATAGACTGAAGCTGAGTAATAGTAATTATGGAGACACGTTGGTTTGATAATTAAAATTTGATGACACTATACTGCGATCTTGTCAGTGTTTGACTTTGCATTGTCAGGAGTGTTCGTTTCAGACATATCATGAAACAATCGAGTCCACCTCATGTACATCAATAGAACCAACGCAACCTTAATCACGATTCAATATTAATTAAACCACCATGATCGCCACATATACACATTCAATGATGCATATCATATATGAATGAGTAATAGAAAAATTACATGTAATGTGATCTTGAAAATGCATATTATTCAACGGGTCTAATTTTATTCCTTAGTGAGATTAGTCAAAATTCCCTCGTACCAAATGATTATTGCACAACTGAAGGCACTCTAAATCCCAGAATAGACTCTATAAAACCATCACTTTATTTTGTAGAAATTAATTTGGTCATAGTCTATTGAACATAAAAACAAACTATCATATGAAATCACACTCATAATAGTAATATGCTGAAGAAAACGATAAGTGTTAAAACTTAAACATTTGGTTAATAGGTTAGCTGACATTTGTTATGTCCTTAATGTTCTATAGAAATTTGTCTATTTTATATTTTAAACCTTCTCGTGGAACTTGGTATCAATAATGTTGTACTCGTGAAATCATGTTGTAATGCTAGTATATCACTATGGTAACATTGCCGCTATAAAAGTTCTAAATCAAAATGAGTGACCAATGCCATCACGGTGACAAAAAAACCTCTCTTATCGGTCATTCAACTTATGTTAATCATCTTCCTCGTCTCATCTGATTTATGTCGATTGCATGAAAATACTGATATTTCGTATTTGTTCGGTTGGGTTAGGAAATATGCGTGGAGAAAGGGTGCAAGGAGAGGGAGCAAAGCCATGCTCAGGCTTGAATTCCACTCATGGCTAGCTCCTTTCATTACCACTTTGAGCAGCTTCCTGACAGAAGAAGGCAGCAATTTTCTGGCCAATCTCGGCATGCATTCATTGGCAAGTAAATGGAAGGAAGAAAGCAAACTCAAATCACCATTTCTAGTTTCTACCAACCGTTTGTTTCCCGCAAGCAAACCCACCTCACCGCCTTTTTGTCGCTGCACGCATGCCAAACCCTTTCCTAAAAGGATTAAGGAAACAAAAAAATTCATGTGTCAGTGCTTTGTAACATACAGAGTGAAGAGAAAATGTTGCAACTTTTTTGTTTTATGTTGGTTGTTGTTGCAGAAATGAAGAGAAAGTGTTGCAGTGAGGTCACCAACTTTGCAATTCACGCCTGCCTGCCTTCTTCCTGCTTTTTTTTGCCTTGTGTATTGATCACTCGTTACTTCACTTTCATTGAGAATTATTGGCAGCTTCCCCCTTTTTGTGTGTGTTTGTCCTCATCTTTCTTCTTCTGAATTCATCATTACGCGATCTGAGTCCGCCTATTTACTCACAGCAGCAATTCCAAAACAGCACGAGCAACTCCCATCTGCGTTCTCCATCTCTTGATCTTCACTGCCAAAACAGAGCATTGAAGAATTTGTTGACAATGGGATCTTCTGAGCCGTTGAAGGTCACATTCAGCAGCCCGGCCAAGTACTGGACTGACGCCGTCCCGATCGGAAACGGCCGCCTCGGCGCCATGGTTTGGGGCGGGGTGGCCGCCGAGACCATCCAGCTCAACGGTAAGCCACAAAAAAAGAATTTGCAAAATTTCTTCTCTTTCTCTCTGGTTTTTGCCAATTTGCAAAATTTCTTCATATGGCAGAGGACACGCTCTGGACCGGAGCTCCAGGAAACTACACTGACCCAGATGCTCCCAAGGCGCTGGCTCAAGTTAGAAATCTGGTTCACGAGGCCCAATTCGTCCAGGCCACACAGGCTTCTGCCGGGTTGTTCGGTGGGCCCACACAGGTCAAGGCCCATCCCTTCCCTTCCCTTCTCTTCCCTTCCATAACTGTTTTGGTTTGAAGAAATCGCTATTCACTGATTTTGGTATCAAATTAGGTTTACCAACCATTGGGAGACATCAAGCTCCAATTCGACGGCTCCCATTTCAACTATGGCGCCTATTCCCGGGAGCTGGACTTGGATACTGCAACAGCACGAGTTCAGTACACCGTCGGCGGCGTGGAGTTCAGAAGAGAGCATTTCGCATCCAACCCAGATCAAATCATCGCCACTAGCATCTCTGCGTCAAGCCCTGGGTCCGTATCATTTACCGTCTCGCTCGACTGCGCTCTCCCGGACCATCGGGTTCACATCAACAACGACCACAAAAACCAAATTGTACTGATCGGGAGTTGCAGTGGACAGCAGCCGGGTTCCACCGGGATTCAGTTCGCTGCAGTTCTCGAGTTGGAGATTAGTGCCGGCAACGGTGTAGTCTCGAGATTGGATGACGACGGCAACGGGTTGAGAGTTGAAGGTGCAGATTGGGCTGTCCTGCTTCTGTCTGCTTCCTCTTCTTTTCAAGGCCCGTTCACCAACCCAGCCAATTCCACTAGAAACCCGACCTCTCTCGCCCTTCTTGCATTCCAAGAAGTTGCGAAGCTCTCCTACTCTGATCTATGGTCCCGCCATGTCGATGACTACCAGAGTCTCTTCCGCCGTGTTTTGCTGCAGCTGTGGACAGGTGCAGCAGCCGAAGCGGATGATCGTGCCGTTGCAGTTCGGACGACGGCGGAGAGGATCAGGTCATTCCAAGAGGATCAAGATCCTGCCTTTGTGGAGCTTCTGTTCCAATTCGGTCGGTATCTGCTTATATCTAGCTCGCGCCCTGGAACTCAGGTGTCGAATTTGCAAGGGATATGGAACCCAGATGTTAAGCCTGCGTGGGAGTAATGTTCTGAATCCTGACTTCGTTTCCCTTCATTTCCTTTTCGAGATACGGGCTCATAATTTTTGGGTGCAAAAACTGTGTGCGTGGTTGCAGTTGTGCGCCTCATTTGAATATCAACCTGGAGATGAACTATTGGCCTTCCCTTCCATGCAATCTCAGGGAGTGCCAGGAGCCGTTATTCGACCACATTCAAGCTCTTTCAATCAGTGGAAGTCAAACAGCAAAAGTAAGTAGGGGTATGATTCAACCCAACTGCACGTTGTTACGAAATATACTCACTCATCACGGCTTGCAGGTAAACTACGAAGCAAGTGGTTGGGTTGTGCATCATGTGTCGGACTTATGGGCAAAATCCTCTGCATATGAAAGAGATGCTAGGTGGGCAATATGGCCAATGGGCGGAGCCTGGCTTTGCACTCATTTGTGGGAGTACTACACATACACCATGGACAAAGTAAGAGCATTTTTAATTGTAATTGCTTCACCTAATTTATCCTAGTTTTGTAGTCTCAAGTAACTGCATGGTACAGGATTTCCTGCAAAAAACAGCATACCCTCTCCTGAAAGGATGCGCCTCATTTTTGGTGGATTGGTTGATCAAAGGGCCCCAAGGATATCTAGAGACCAATCCATCAACTTCTCCAGAACACGTGTTTGTTGCTCCGGATGGAAAACAGGCTTCAGTTAGCTACTCATCCACGATGGACATGGCAATTATAAAGGAAATTTTCTCTGCACTTGTTTCTGCTGCGGAGGTGGTTAAGCTCTTATCGTGTTGCAGACATGACAGCTTGTGGTTCTGTATTTGAGAATCCAGTGTAATTGATTTCTCTTGCTTCAGGTTCTGAATATGACCGAAGATCCCCTTGTCCAGAATGTCGGCGAGATTCAATCAAAGCTTTCTCCAACAAAAACTGCCAAAGATGGTTCCATTATGGAATGGGTATGAACATAACATGAGTAGAGTTTTAATGCATGGTTTCTAGATGTTTATTCGGTTTAGATAATGAATAAGCCATGTTAAGATATTCATGTGGGTGCACGCAGGCACTAGATTTTGAGGACCCAGAAGTGCAGCACAGGCACCTGTCTCACCTGTTTGGTCTGTTTCCCGGACACACTATAACCATTGAGAAAAATCCAGACCTATGTAAAGCTGCTGAGAAAACTCTTTACAAACGAGGTCTGTTTTATTTTGTTACCAGTGAAAAATGATTGTTTCAATCACCTAGTCGGTCGAGGCTCCTTTTGAACGTTGAGAAACCATTATATCAATGAAAATGATAATGCCACATTGCTACTTTCATACTGGGAAAAGAATATGCAAGCATGACAGTGATTCTCACATTTACTTATAGCTTTAAGTAAGTGATATCATATTTTCTTTAGGATAAACCAGGGTGAGACTGATACCAGTTGTTATATTCGTTGATCTTGAATGAAAACAGGAGAGAACGGTCCTGGATGGTCAACTACATGGAAAATTGCTTGTTGGGCTCGTCTGAGGAACAGTGAGCAAGCTTATAAGATGGTCAAGCACTTGATCCAGCCAGTAGATCCGGATAAGACAACCATAGATTTTGAAGGCGGACTGTACAGCAACTTATTCACTGCACACCCTCCATTCCAGATTGATGCAAACTTCGGGTAAGCATGCACCACTGAATACCATCAATTGGTAAGAACATACATATACATTGGAACCGTCTTGTAACATATTGGAGGAATCTGTTTTCAGTTTTACTGCAGCAGTTGCAGAGATGCTTGTCCAGAGCACAATGCTGGATTTGTACATACTTCCTGCCCTCCCTCGAGAGAAATGGCCCAACGGAAGTGTCAAAGGGCTAAAGGTCCGAGGAGGACTGACTGTCGACGTAAGCTGGCGAGAAGGAGATCTCCATGAAGTTGGGGTTTGGCAGGAGAATGATGGTCAAGAGATTAATTTGGTCAAGAAAATGTTGCATTACAGGGGAAGAACAACTGAAGCAACGATTTCGTCTCGCACTGTTTACACCTTTGATGTCGGGTTCAAACTTGTGGAGGAAATATGATTTTCATGGGCTACAATCTACATGTGGTACTAAGGGAATAAGAGAAACTCTGTGCCAAAAATAATAATGTTATGTGAAGTAATGCAGCAGGGAAAGCTAAATATATCTATATGAAGCTAGATAAGATGAGTGAAATGGAGTTATGTGATAAACCAATGAAGTGAAATATATACATATAATACTCTACCATATGCCCAGGGCCGGCCTTGGGCATGCTGTCCAAATTATGAGCGTCTATTGGGCTTATATGGTAAATTACTATTATGTAATATTGAGTTTTGATTGTGAATTTGGAATAATAAAGACTAATGTATTGCGTTTTGATTACGGGTATAAAATAATAAGATTTGGGTTAAAGTACATAACAATGCCTATGTTTGGCCCGGCTTTTAGAAGTGCTTTTCGGCTTCAAAAGCTTAAGCAGGGCCAAACACCTCTAAAAGCTCGGCTTTTGAAAAGCCGAAAAGCGCTTTTGTATAACATAAAAGCAGAAGCTCCGATTTGGAGCTTCTGCGAAAAGCTGTTTTGAAAATACAAGATTATCCTTACCATATTTTAATTTTATTTCATAAAATATAATTTTCCTTCATTTATATCATTTTAAAAATAAAATAAATTATAAAATCATATTATTTAATATAAAAGAAATCTAACAAGATCCATTTTGACTACTTTTTATTGTTTCGAATTTTTATTTATATTTTATATTATAAGTCCTTTATAGTCATTTTACACAACCGCTCATATTAAAAAGCACTTCTAATAGTTTTACAGCCAAACACTAAACTGCTTTTTTTGAAAAGTACTTATCTAAAAGCTCCAGCCAGAAGCTGCTTCTGCAAAAGCTACAGCAGGGCCAAACTAAGCTAATATAGCTTTGTAGTACTACAAAATCATAATGGATGTTGAGATTAACAGTGAAGTGATTTAATGACCATTTTTGTAGAGGGGTAAAGAGAGTAGGGGTTTGGAGAGAGAGCTTACGGGTTTTTTGGGGTAGCTGAGCGAATTTTTGGGGCTCTCGTGTGCTATGTTTTTGTGCTTTTCAATGTAAAAATACAACCTATGAGAATTTGGAAAAGGAGATATGTTTTTGTGCTTTTCAATGTAAAAATACAACCTACGAGAATTTGGAAAGGAGCTATAGAAGGAAGAATATGGAGTTTTCATTTTAAAGACGAGGTTCAATGACGGAGAAACTTATTGGGAATCACGAGTGAAGCTCAAGAAGAGCCTAATAGGGTAAGACTCGACCCAAACCAGAGCAAGAACCAGTGAAGGGCCAGTGTCAGGTCCAACTGTCTCCCAAGCAAACCTGGTCAAAACACGAAGAAATCTTTAGGAAAGGTTGCTTATGGTGATGCAATCCTTAATTATGACCTAAGTTTAATCCCACTGATGCTCTTCCCAATTTTATGTTGAAATTGCACGCTCCGTTTTTGGTTCGAAACCCTTTCATCAATCAATCTCTTGATTGATCTTAATGTTATAATTCAAAATTTACATGGAAAGTTTTAGGTTTAACAATGTTAGGATGTACTGGGGGCTATTACGTACCCACATCGTCACCGGCCACCACCGGCTCCGTATCCCCTGCCGTGCATTTACTGGGACTTTTCCTGCATCGTCACCGGCCACCGCCTGCTAGGGATTTTCTGGCGTTCCCCCCTGGCGTTGCCCAGCTCCGGTCCTGGGAACTTAACCCTTCCTGGCATTTTCCCCAGCTTGGTTTGAGAGAGAGAGAGAGAGAGAGATTTTCGTTTCCGGTGAATTTTCCGGGCGGCGTAGAGAATTTTCCGGCGACAACGTTTGTTTTGTTCTATTTGTCGACGCTTCTGTAATGTTTGCAAGTACGTTTTGTGAAGGTCTTAAACGATACAAGGGCAGCAAGTTGACACACAGAGTGCATTTAACCCTTGAATTAGGGTGCGTGTGAGGATTTCCGATTTTTGTAATAGTAATGCTGATCTTTTGGTTCACAAAATCCAGTTCATTTTAGATTATTCCTTTGTAATTCTTGAATGAGATCCCAGTCCATCTAAATTGGTTTAAATAGCCTCAAATTAAATTTGGGCGCTGCTGCATTTACGAATTTATTCTGACCTTTGACCCTAGAAAAAAAACCCACTTGTTATGTACACTCAAAATTATCGGGATAATTCTCATTCCCTCTAGTCGACATAATCGACCTTTCATTGTCTAATTATGAACCTAATTTCTTGAATGTTCATCCAATCAACAGGTTTGACAACTAAGCTATGAATACATAAAAGAATTCACAAGACATTAATTAACTAAAATTACGATTACACATGAAGTAGCTTAATAATAAGCTTATTGTACATAATTTAACAAACATTAGGAACTTGCACCACTTACTGTTACACATCATAGTCAAGTTACATTATTTCTCCATTATTTAGTTTAAGGAGAAAACTAGCTACCTGTAGTCCTGTAGCTAGCTAGCTCCCGTCGGAGTATTTTTTCCAAACGAAACAACCATACACATACATTATATTACTGTAGCGTTTGAATAATATAATAATTAGCAGCTGATATTGGGCCCAGGAGTGATCCCAAAGGACCTGCAGTAAGCCCTGTAGTACTTCACACGCGCCGCCACAGCCGCAGGGCTCCCGCCGTTGCACTCGCCGCCGTTGACGCGGCGGATGGTCGCACCGAACCCTTGCTTCACAACGGGACGGACGCTCTTCATCCAGAACCACAGCCCCGTCTTCCAGGCAATCACGGCGTTCTTGGCCACAATGTCCGGATTCTTCAGCCCGTCGAAGTTGTTGGCCTTCCCGCACGCGCCGTAGTTGTAGTTCCACGTCAGCTGGATGGGCCCACGCCCGTAGTACTTTTTCCCCGGAGCGCACGGGTACTGGCTCGACGGGGAGCAGTACGTGTTGCGCGCGATTTCTTCCACGTAGCAAAAGTCTGCACCCACACACACACAAAAAAAAAAAGCATGCACAGATTTTACGTTTCGAATCGTTGGTAGATATTCAATTATTTTGATCTTATATCATGCACTAACAAAACTTTACGTCCGGTTTCGTGGGTGACGTGGGCGAAGAAGGCGGCGATCTCGCGCTTGGACCAGAGGGCGGTGTCGAGGTTACCGAAGCGAGGGTAGGCGCGTGCGGCGGTGAGGAGGGCAGCGCGAGTGTAGAAGGTCTTGCCCTTGCAGCCGGTGCCTGCCTGGCTGAGAATGCGGTTGAAGAAAGCAGGAGTGACCACGCTGCCGACGGCGACGGCGTCGACGAAGGTGGTGGGGATGGCTATGGCGGAGAGGAAAATGGCCAAGGTGGCGGAGAGGAGTTGGAGCTTTCCCATGGTGGTGATATTATGCTTCTATATGATAATGGTGGAAGAGAGTAGTGTGTGTTTTTGGTGTGGTTTAATGGCGGGTGGGGAATGAAGCTATTTATAGGCGTGGGGGAAGTGAGTACGGGACGCGGTTTCAGGTTAAGGGAATTCAAAAAAGTCAAATCATCATCAAGGATAGGAATGGGATAGGAGGAACTTGCAAGTCTACGCCATATATATATATTATTATGATGATCATCGACTTGAGCAGGTTCCGAGGTATAGTAGTGTGATTGATTTTCTTTTCTTCTAATTGCTTCTTAATTAATCCCCGAGATTTGTGGGATTTCGTGCACACAACACACATTAAGCTAGCTATTGACTCTATGCTCTGATGTACTTGTATATGTGGACTTATAAACATATGGATTATGAATTTATGATGTAGGAAGACTACAGAGAAAGATGTGGCGAGGTGTTCTTTCTTGCAATGAAGGGGAAATCAAAACTAAAACAAAACAGGATATTGGACGGTAATGGGAACGGGGTGCTAATAGGTGTGGTGATATCATCATATGTTCTATAAGTTTTTTTTTTGTCTATTTTATTTTATGTTTTTTGTGATGTGGTTTGTTGTGTTACTAGTTTGTGTTTTGTGATATGTTTTATGATATTTGTGCTGATTGCAATTGGCAGGACACAGAATAAATGAGCACCATGACCCGTGTGTATTAATGTCTATAATTTTAAAAATTGACTAGCATTCCCCTTACAAATCAATATTAATTATGGTCAATCAAAATGTTCTTATTGACTAAAACTAGTATTAGCATCATGTCAAAATTTATGCCCATAGGTTTTTTTTTGACAATGGGTTAAATCTCATTCATGTAATGATTGTGGTACAAGCGTAGCCATTTACAACAAAGGTGACATAAGATCCAGGATTTGAATCCAATCAGTGGAAAGAGATCCTTTTGCTGTTTCTCTTGCAACCCAGTCCGCACTCTTGTTCAATCTTCTAGGCGTAAAGTCCACTCGGATACGATCGTTAGAGTCCAAGATATGCCTGATACAATGGATCCATGCCCTCACTTGCCATTGCCCTGTCGTGCTATTGCCCTTGATCGCGTCAACTAGAACTTTGCAATCCGAAAGAACTCTTGCAGTGAGGCCTGAATCATGTGCGAATCTGAGCGCCGTTAGAAGTGCCTTTGCTTCCGCTACAATGTCTCATAGGTTAATTTATGTAAACAATGTCCGCTTTACGATATACGGTGTACGTTAACAAATGCACAACACCACATAGTTTGTGGCTCTGTCCTACATACCGACTGAAAGGAATTTGTCCGGCATAAGGGCATGTAAGTCAAAGTCTTCAGGAACTTTATCTTAATTTACTTAAAGATCAAGTTTTACACGGTGACAATATTTCTTGAGAAGCTTCGTTCTTTAATTATTTTTTTTTAAGGATGAATCAAAGAATTCACGGCAAGGATATTGATCAACCAAGTCTTAGTCGTCTCGTATATATGTAGCAATACCATCATTATATTCATTGTTCATACTAAAAGGTATGTCCGATAATTTATTATAAATAATTGAAATGGAATTAGACATTTAGAAGAACGGATAGTCTTTAATAGTATGATATTGTATTTTTTGGATCTAAGTTTATACCGATTTACTTTTGGACACTTTCTAAAATAACCTCATGCTGACCATCATCAGATTACATGGCCACTTATATACAAGATGGCTTTTCATTATTTCTCCAAAGTGCTGCTTGGATTATACAGTTTCTGAACTCATTTTCCTAAAGGACACAAACTTCATGCAAAGATACAGTTTAACGTAACAAATCCACCCATGGAGGCCTACCATGGGAGACTATAATCAACTATGGGGCCATACCATCACGGGCTGACACCAACCCTTTCGCGAATTCAAAAGGGGAAAATGGCAAAAGATAGAAGGAAAACTTTCACATCATTTTCCGACCCTAAATTCGTCATTTATTGTGCCTAAACCTAAGATTATGTAAAACTACTACAAAATACATCAAAACTATAAAAAAATTCTCCTAGGTGATATTAGGGCTGAATATTTGGTCCGTACTTTTTGGTTTTACCTGAAACCGGACCGGGATCGGACCGAAACTTGATAGCAAACAATACAATATCATCTTTGGGCATAGGTTTGAGGTAAAAAAACCTTTTGGGACCGGATCGAAAACCGGATAAAGACCCCGATAAGAGAGCTCAACACCCAAAACTTAACTAACTCATCACCCTTTGAGGCCTCTGGCCACTCAAATCCCTACAAGCTCAATCTAAAAACAAAACCGAATTGGGACCAGACCGGGTCAAGACCGGACCAGATCAAGACTGGATTGTATCCAATCCAATCTTGGTCCTTATATTATCGAAAAGACCGAACCAAAACAAGATCAATTCGGGCCAATTTAATCGGAGCGTATAGCCACCCCTAGGTGATATGATGACCCATGAAAGCATATATTCTAGACCTCGTATTGTGACCCAAAGTGCATATATTTCTCATCAAATGGGTCATAATATATTGAATTATTGCTATGCTTGTTTCAAGTATATTCTAGCAACGCTAGGATTGCTCTATACGATTGATACGCTTTTGGTAGTGTGTATTTTCAGGGCAAAGCAGTCTAGTGGACCACTTGGAAGCCTTAGAGGGTACATCGCAAGTTTCTGAATCAAGGATTAGAAGACCGAACGCCTAAGCAAAACGACGCTCGGAGCACCATTTTAGTAGAGAAGAAGGGAAGTCACAATGTCTTTTTAGGGAGTTCGTCCACTTCGTCAGGAAGTTATCTCGGAGCATCAAGATTCGTTGATCACGTGTTTGGAGCGTTCTGATTGGCCGAATGACGGAGGGGAGGCGAGTTTAACTCCTCAGAAAGTCCAATTGAAGATCTATAAATAGGGCTCTAGAGTTAGAGTTTTAGAGGAGGAAACAAGAGGTGAAGGATGGGTCGTTACTCTGCTGACAAAGCAACACTCCTGAATTAGAATGAATCTACCCTACGAGGGAGAATTGACAGCCAAAACAGCGCCCTAAGGGCCTGTTTTCTCTGTTACAGCTACTTATCGTCTTGTGCCTCATGGAGTCTTCATTTTCAACGATGAACACCCATGAACCCCTCCTCATGGCTAGCTAAGTTCCTTAGTTACGTAGGTCCATGTAAACTTAATGATTTGGTTTAATATGATTTTTTTATTTTCATAAGTGTGATGCTTGATTTCCTCTATTTTGTTATTTATTGATTCAAATGATTGCTTAGTCGATCTTGCCCTACTTCGAGGTGCAAGGATCGAAATTCTAGTAATTTAGGATGAGTCTAGAAATAGCAGTACTACTCGATCGAACCTCATTCAATCAAACGACGTGACGCCTCAAGGGAGAAATCCAAAGGGTCCTTGTCTCCTATTAGTTCGGGTTAATACTTCGACGCAAGGTTAGATCTAACGAAATAAGAAATCGGTGGCTCGTATGCTCCGATAATCGAGGGCACATAACTAGGAGACCTGGGTGAACATTGTCTATGCAAACTTTCCTTTGCTACTCTCTTACTTCTCCATTATTTATTATTTAATTATTTAATTAATTATAATTTTTTATCGGCGACACCCCTCTTCAATAATACTGGGTCCGCTACTAATCGGAGCCTTCGACTTCACCAACACCTCCCTGAATCTTGCACTCTGACCGTCGAGTAGCTCTACGTCCATGTCCTCCCTTTCTATCCACGCTCCAAGATCATCATAATCTCTGTCGGCAACGATGCCGCCACCGTCTCTTAGATCTTGTCCCTGTTGCCAGTCATACGAAACGTCCACCTCGCGCTCAGAGACATCGGAATCAAAACTTTATCTTTCGCCCACAGCGGGGAAAGCATACGAGGGTTGCGACGACGGCATGGGGTTTGGACGACCACATATTTTTTTAATTAATTTCTTTATTTCCAATAATTATGAAAGTGTAAGATAAATTAGTTTATTAATTTTTAATGTCTACATGGCATCTACATCAGCAAACCATGCTGATTCACTAACGGTCAACACTGTTAACCATCTAATTTGATGGAAATTCACGAGTCGGGCCAAATTAGTTTATATGGTGTTTACTTGAGGCCAGGATAATAATTTCTAAAACCACAGACAAAATTTGATTATTTAAATGTATTAATCATTTAAATGATTAATATAGAACCAAATTAGTATATCTCGGCAATTGCTTATCATCTTGTCTGACTACCGTTGTTGTGGGGTTGTTTTCCTGCACTTGCCTCTTTTCAAGCTCTTCTTCTACATTTCTACGTATACGTACTAATAAAATTGGCTTCACCATAAGGAAAAAAGTTAATAGGAAAATTTAAACTATATGTTGCTATACGTATAATAATATCTTAATCGAGAATTTCTTTCTTGCACTTATCATGATATAGAATTAGTCAAATACTTACAGACATATATATAGCAGCAAGCAATTACGATATAGGTGGCCTGATTCCTCGTATTATTATTAGGCTTAATCAACGGGCATCTTGTCAGCGCATGGGGCATGCACCCACGAAAGGGCCCGGGCGGGGGCAATCTGGCAGTCAACGGCTTGATGCTTATTTTTTACCAATTGATGGCTCGTTCTTATCTAAGTGATTAATTAAAAAGAAGCATTAATTAGTTCCGTGGTTGACTTGTCTAATTCAAATCTCACGGCTGGATGTGGCGCAGATTACGGGGTTCAACTTCGATGCTTATTTCCTACTCGTTGGGCCTTAGGCCCAGTCATATACACACACAAGGTCAGTTCAGTTGGCCCAGACGTAAATTTTCGCATCTATCTAACCACTAACCAGATATGCAAAAACCCAAAATTGAGATAAAACTAGAAGTTGGACTGTTATACGTTCAAAAACTTGGTTGGTGTCTTGGTGATGGTACTGTTCGAGTTCATCATCATGTTACATCTGAGGATAAGATTGCACCAAAGCATTTCCTGCACCTGTCGACACTCCTATCTAGCTGACAAATTGATAATCCAAGATCCCCATCAATTTGAGGGAGGTTGTTGAGTTATGAGTCCGTACGAAAATAGCCATCATGACAATTGTATATGTATCCACGCAACAACCGTAGTTGTACGAAAAACTCGGCTTGTCTGATCGCAGTCAGCTTAGCCAGGGGTTCTTGGCTACAAACTATATATATATAAACATGACGAGCTGCTAATTAAAGTTAAGTTGAATAGGAGTAAAAAGTAGTTTCAGCCTTCGACTAGTTTCGTTAAACCGCGGTAAACATATGTGTCGATTTCGTTTTCGATTGTATACCAATTAATTACGAATAGGATCTTGTACGTATTAGGTGATATACGTACAAGGAAATGCAGGCCAAGTTGGAGTCAAGTAAGTTAAAAAGAGGAGGAGAATAATAAAATTGAGTATGAATTAAGTAATTTACCAACTTGCATATATATAAATCAATCATTCAAGTTATATATAGCTATTTGATTGTCCCACCAAAAAACACGAAATCATTTTCGTCTCATCAGCCAGCTGCTCACAAAAAAAAAAAAAAAAACATTGAACAATAATCAATGATCTCAACACCTGATATTATTTCCAGGGCTGACGCCCAACTGCTTGCAGTACTCTCTATAATACCTGACGCGATCCTCCACTTCATCCGTGTTGCCGTGGTTGCACTCCATCCCGTTGATCTTGTGGATCGTCTCCCCGAACCCTTTTCTCTCCGTCGGACGGACGCTCGTCGACCAGAACCACAGCGCCGACTTCCACGTCACCACCGGGTCCCTCGCCACGATGTCCGGGTTCCTCAGCCCGTCGAACCCATTCGCCTTCCCGCACTCCCCGTAGTTGTAGTTCCACGACAGCTGCAGTGGGCCCCGGCCGTAGTACTGTCTCCCCGGAGCGCACGGGTTCGCTACCGCCGACGAGTCGCAGTACGTCCCTCGTTCTATTTCTTCCGTGTAGCATAGGTCTGAAACAACAAGAAGCAGAATCAAATAGGTCGGATCAGATTATAGAACACATAGGGCCGATCCGTTGAGGAGAATCACAGTGCAAATAGTAAGATATTATTATAGATCAAAGATCATACGAACAGTGCATTTGGTTCATTTTTTTGTCCTGTTCAAATGTCCATATTCACGAGACCAAGGACCGGACATGTTATGCTCGATTCGGTACAGTCCGGTTCAAGCATCAGTTTCATACGATGCAGTTCGGTACGGACCGACTGTTGCACATAGTGATGGCTAATTTGAACTCGTCCCGCGGGTATTACCCGACCCGCAGTAGCGTGGGACGGGGCATGGGTATTTATTTCCGATCCACCCTGCCCAGCCCATCTCATCCCGTTCTTGGCCCATTCTATCGCAATTTCTTAAAGTATCTATACATAATTCTCCTATTTTGACTTTACTTTAATTAGTTAGAATCGATCTTTCAAATTGTTCGACTCAATTACTCATTCCACAATCACTATTTTTCATTCGTGAAGTGTTTTTCATTTCGTCTTATCGTAAAAAATAAAATTTGCGTATTTTAGCATTGGGTCGGGCATGGGTATAGAGTTACCCGCACCGCCCAGCTAATTGCACACCCAGTCACCCAAGAACAAAAAAAAAAAAAAAAAAAAAGTGGTGCCAAATAGTGAAAGGTGGAAAAAAGCAGGGTGAGTTAAATAATGAATTACCTCCGGTCTCGTGGGAGACATGGGCGAAGAAGGCCGCAATCTCGCGCTTGGATTCCTCGACGGAATCGAGGTGACCGAAACGAGGGTAGGACTTTGCAGCCTTGAGAAACGCCCTCCGGGTGTAGAAATGCTTTCCCTTGCAGTTGGAGCCGGCTTTGTTGCGAATATTGTTGAAGAATTCCGGCGTGACAAGGCGGCCTAACGGGACAGCCACCACGACGGTTGCCGGAATAGTTATGACTATCGCCGATACAAGTACGGCTACGACGTGGATTATTGCCGGTAGTTGAATCTTCCCCATGCTGGAATTCAGCAATGGAAGAAGAAGAAGAAGGAGAAGGAGAAGAGTGGCACAATGGTAGAGGATATTGTAAGATGATGAATTCTAGAGGCGGTATTACTCGGCAACTTATATAGAGTGATTGGGACTTGGGACTCGAATTTGACGATGCCTGATCTTGTCTTTTTTCATGCTCGTTGTTTTATGCCAATTATTGCACAAAAGTTGTAGTTACTCATCATCCAAAAGAGAGCATTGTAGTTGTTTATTTCTATGGACTGTGTTGTCATAACTGGCGGATTAATTTATCTAGGGAGATGCATGGGAGGTAAAACTCAACAAGAGAGTTCACATTTGATTCTTAAGGGAAAAGGCTTGAGAGGTTTCTTGAATCCATGTCAGTCATTAGATTAATCAAGAGAGATGGGAGGTAGAAATAGAATGCAAAAAGGGCAAACACGACATTACCAAATACCCTTGTTATAAGAACCGAACCGATCAACGGCCGGGCCAGTAGAACCGTCAAACCAATTACGATAGCGGTCCGGTTCATTGTTTGAACGGTTATTGATGGACCAAAACGGGTTTTCACTGTTCAACATAAAATCAGATGAACCGACACGGTTTAGTTGGTCCATTGGTTCACTACCAACTAGAATAGTAATTTTTAATTTGAATTAAAAAGTGTGGTTTCTTTTGTGAGATGGTTGGAATGATTTATTAGATATTTTCGTGATGATATGAATTTGAACTTGTTTATGGTCAATGATAATTTCATTCTTAAATTAGTGTGATATACAAGTCTTATATGTTATATATCATCAACGGTTCTATCAACGGTTCACCAACGGTTTTGTAACAATTAACAGCGGTACCTTAAACCACTAACTTTTCCGGTTCAGCCTCCGGTCCGATTCTGAAAACAGAGCCAAATACCAATTGTTTTAAACATCCATTGAAAATTAAATATGAGATAATTAATGTTTCTTAATCATTACCTTTGTGTCCAAATGGCATCTATCTACCCTCTCTAGCTACTCTACTGCAAATTTCAAGGGTTTTCCGTTGGAGATGGAGGTCTCTACTTTAGCATAACTGTTTTCTATGGCTACTGAAAATCATCTCCAATTTCGTTCGCGGGAAGAATTTAACTCTCTTATCATCAAATTACATAATTTTTCTACTCTATTTGGATGGAACGAAATCATATTAAGTCAAAAATTGGAAATCGATGAACTTTAAGTTATGAGAATCTTAATTAAGTACATAAACCAAGTACAAAGAGTTTACACTGAAGGTCGATTATTGTGACCAAGAAACACCTAATAAACTAAAGTTAGTGCTTAGATAATTTAATTTTCAGTTAATACTATGTTTAAAGAATATCGATTGACAAAATTGAATAAAAATCTTAGTTGAGATAATTTATAAAATAATATATAGTTAAATGTTCCGGCCAACTGGTCGGGTCCATGCTAGTTTGGGAAAGAGAAGATTTAACACTACAACAAAAACTAGTTTTTGCAACCAAAAAGTGTACAACCAAACTAAATTTGGTTGTGAAAAGGGTAGTATATACAACCAATTATATTTTGGTAGCTAAAATATTAAAAATTTGGTTGTCTATTAAAGTCAAAGTATTGATAACCAAATAAAACTTGAAGAGACCAAATAATTTGGTAGCAAAATAATTTTACTTTTTCCAACCAAATAATTTTGGTAGCAAAATGATTTTTACCTTTTCCAACCAAATAATTTGGTAGCATATTGATTTTTACTTCCCCCAACTAAATATTATTGGTTATGAATTTAAACATGAATATTAAATAACTAAATAATTTGGTTGCATACCCAATAAAAACATTTCAGCTACTAAATTATTTGGTTGCAGTTGTATACTTGTATTGATATTTAATAAAAGTGTTGACGGGTTTTATTGGAAAAAAAAAATAACACTCAACTTTACTCTTTTCTCATCTCTTTCGTTCACTTTTCCTAGTTCCTACTACCCAAAATCTCCGAACTCCAACTTCTCCTTCTTTTCTCAATTCACCTGATTCCCTCTATACTACTTTGAATTCTTTGAGATCCGGCTACCAAATAGAGAGGCAAAAGCAAATTTTGTCCCGAAGAAGACTAGAGAAAGCTTGGTTATGGCGGTGGAGATTTGGGATCTCAGGAATCCAACGAGGATTTGATGTAAATCCTTGATTTCTAGCATCGATTTGGCAACTCTTTCTCGTTTCGAGGATGATATGAAAAATTCCTTGAGAGCAATGAGTGAGTTCTGCTTGGCAACAATTCTGTTGTCGTTCAATTTCAAGTACTAGAACAAAGCTCTGATCGATTTTGGCGAAACGAGAAGACTGCGAGATGCTGCGACTTCTCCCCCGTTGTTGCAGCTGCTCACCTAAACATCCCGCTCATCGACCTCAGTAGCTCCTCCAGAACCACCGCCTGCTTCTCTACAGATTTCCCCACCAATTCATCGAACGCGGCGACGAGCACACCGGCGGCGCCATTGGACATGGTGGCATCCGGTTCCGCCGGCTCACTCTCCCAGCTGTTGAGCTTCCTCAAACACGCGGCGTCAGATCCTCTCAACTCCGAACCTCAAGTCCGAATGTGCAATCATGAATCATCCTCATCAGGTTCTCTCACCGATTCCAGTACTTGCAGAGTACATTTTAGTTTCTAGACATTCAGTCTTCAGTTTAGGCGCTCGATAGTCGCAGGAACCCTAATTTGGTTCCCAATTGAAAACTCATGGACCAAGCAGATCTCCGAGGAGAGCAGCAGCACGAGAAGAAGCTTCACAACGTTGGTGATTTCTTTTCCCCAGCTCAGATCTGTCGTTTTTTACTTAGGGTGTTTTCATCTTGCATTTCCTTTTTGTTTTGAAAGGTCAAACACCAAGGAAGCCTCATTGCTGGAGGCCTAGAAGGGTGGCTCCATGAGAAGTTTGTCACTATCAGAAGATTTCTGGTTTCTTTATCCCTGTTGCTAACTTGGTTCGACTGGTAATCAATCTGAGTTTGTCTCTGGGTCTCATGTATACATATGACTCGGCTGACCAATTGTTACTTAAACTAGATATGTCTTCTCATTCTGGTAGTCCATGGTAATTTGTAGGATTTGGCTAATGACTATTTACATGGAAAGCTCCTAGAAGCAGGCATTTAGAGGACTGTTTGGCATAACTTGTGTTTCAGAGTAGACTGCACTTTCATTAGTTACTGTTGGTTTTATCATCTTGGTATTGCAGAATTTGAGTTTCATTGTTGTGCATGGTCCTTACATTTTTATCACTAGGTAAAAGCGATCACCCAAGATTATAGCCAGGAAGTGAACTGCTGGAAACTTGAAGGTATCGTGGCTCTTCAAGAGGTACCATGACCACTTACATTGTTCTCATTGCTTTTCCATTCAAGTTAATGAAATAGCATAGGGACATTTCAAGCTTTACTGTGACTGGTTTCATTCACTTTTATCGATACAACTTATGAATTATGATCAGAACTTTCCAGACAATCACTTGAACCTGAGTCTATTAATTGAATCGCCATGTGTTTTAGGAAGCTGAGGATTTCTTGGTCCACTTATTTAAAGATGGGATGCTATGTGCAGTTCATGCCAAACGTGTTACATTGAGTGAGGTTATCTCGACCCCTGTTGCAGTTTATCCCGAGCCTGACCTTTTATGGAGCTATGCAGCCTGTTCTACTTGCCTGTCATTACTTGCCTGTCATTACTTGAAAACAAGATCAAAGCTTCAACCAATACTATAGTGGCTTAATTTGAGATGGAAGGCACTTTCAGAATTTTTGTGACTCCTTCCTTGCAGGTTTTGGCACCTCAATTTTGGGCATTATGAGCTATAGACTTCACACTATAGAGGCAAAGTAAAAAAGATCTTATGTCTGCATATTCAGGTACCTAAATCTTGCAATAAGGTTCTCCTGTTTCTTCTTATGGGTTCATGAATTTGAGTTTAACAAGTTCATTTCTTTTTGCAGTACTTATTTCTTCGCATGTAGTCGATGTAGTGCTTAAAATTAAACATTGTTCTCTCTTTTTCCACCTAAGCTTATTGTTTGACATTGTTTTTGAATTCATTACAGTCAATTACTCGTATTTGAGTGAAATTATTAGCGTTTGCACATATTTTACATTTGTACAACCAAGAGGGTGAAGCACGTGACTTTCTGTTCATTGCCATCGAAAGATACAAATTATGCGTTCTTCAGTGGGTGTTGAAGCATCAGAGCGGTGTCTCCATCTTGTTGTAAGAGAAAAATTGAGTCCCACAAGGGATGTGCGAAATGGGAAGTCACATGACGAACCACGCGCTCGTTTCTTCTCTGTTAGAGTGGTGTCTCCATCTTCTCCTACCGCCGTCCCTGAGCCGGAAAGTATCTATGTCCATGCTAGTCGCTCGTAATTTGCTATTTCTGTGTAGTTTCTGTCACATTTTATTTATTAATTACTGACTTGTTAGTGTTTGCAGATTAATTCAATGTCGTCTAAGTGGATTGAAGGTGAACGAAGGTAGCTTATGAATATCGTTGATTTATCTTGATTTACGGATTCTGTTTCCGATTTGGCTATGTCTTTCTGAGTGATTTAGTGATTTTTGGTTCCGCAAGTAAGTGTTCAAGAAAGAAAACTTGATGAACAATTGAGAGGCATCGTGGAAGGTGAACTGGGAGTTGGTTGGGTATAGTGTAGAAGCATTGCTAATTAAGGACATAGTTCTTGATTATTTTGGTCACTTGGAGAGGTTGTACGTTGCTGATCAAATTGCTCTATTCTCAGATGACAGCAAACAACTTGAACAACGGGATTAACTACTTTATGAAAACTACGAATGTTAAAGGCCAACCTTTCGAGTTCTCTCTGTAGAAGGCCAACTTCAATTGAAGGACTTAATGTAGCTAAGTGCATTACATCAGTTGCACGGCTAAAATGAAACTTAGCCTTTGTCTCACTGGTTTTTATTTGAATCGAACATGATGGTGTTAAATCATGTTCTAATTGTGCTCTTTAGTAGTAAAAACCCCAAATCTTATTAAGTCCTTCGAAGCAAGATTTTGAGGGGATGTAGTAAGTCCATAAAATCCTATAGTTGCTTTGGTGGTTGCTTTTTGGGATTGATTGGCAGGTTACAAAGGATCTATTTGTTTACAATGAAATGGGATCTCAGCCAATTATCAGCAGGTGAGCTTGAGGGAGCCAGAAACATGTATGCAACTGGATTCTATTCTTTACTTGCTGTCTTCCCAATTTGGCCACATCAAACTTTATAAAACTGATTTTAGGTATCTATGTCAACTAGATTTTAGGTATCTATGTTAACTGCCTTCTAATTGGAACCCACTTTGCCTCTGCTGGTTCTGGTTTTGATCACAGCTTCTGCTCTTAATGTGAATTCTGATCATCAGATTACTAACTACTACTCCTTCCTTCACTGCATTTATTAAAGTAGATTGTTTGAATCTTTTTTTGCAGTGGGGGCAGCATGCAGTTACTTTGTCTCAGCAACAATTACTTTGTCTCACCAGCTGGAAGCAGTAATTTCCTTCAGAACTACTATGTCAGTCCCCTCCTCAACAAAGTCTATAATCTTGACCAGTATGGCTCTTTCCTTATCAGCTTATTCAACACTTTTGTCAAGGTAAATTCCTTTACCATGTGAGATATGTATTTCTTTTCTCGTTGCAAATGATGCCGCAGAGAGTACACAGTCTCATATGCCAGAGAATTTTTTGTTTTGAACTACTCATATAACAGGGAAGCTGCACCTGGACTATGGCTTAGTTCATGATTATTTCATCAGTGAGTACAAGGTAAACTGATAACTTTTTCCAACAGCATCATACATAGCCATCTTGTTTCTCTTGTTTTTATTTGGTAATCTAGAACTTTGGAATACACACTCTTCAGGAAGCTAGGGAAAAAGCGAACAAAGGAAGATGAACGATTATCGAAGGAGAAAGGCATACCTCAACAAATGCACGAATTAAAGGAATTCTACAAAAAAACACAGGTTTCGAAGCTTTCAGCCAACCAATTCATGTAATTGTGATTTTTGGAATAGGGGGTTGATTCTTAGTGATAATATTGTGTAATTGTGATTTTGGTTACTAAACAATAAATTATATAATTACAATTTTGGTTACTGTATAATTTTGTTATATAATACAATTTTGTATTATCATTCTATTTAATTTTTATATTTTAATTTAGTGACCAAAATCTCATTGACCCAATTGGTTATATGAAATGAATTATTTGGTCGCCGTTCATATATTTTACAACCAATAATTATGGTTGTGTTAAAATTTTATAACTATTAAAATTAGTTACCTAAATACTATGATTGGTCGGCATATTTACTTTTTATGACCAACTTTTGAGGTCGCGTTAAACTTTTGTAACTAAAATTATTGGTCACCAAAGTGCTTTAATTGGTTGAGGTGTGTATTTTTCACGACCAATTCTAATGGTTGTGTTAAAATTTTATAACAAAATTAGTTAGTCGTCTAAATGATATAATTGGTTGGCATATATATTTTTCATGACCAAGTTTTATAGTTGCGCTAAACTTTTATAACCAAAATTATTTGTATTTATGGCGACCAATCAGTTACATTCCGTAACCATTAGTTTGGACTATAGCAACCAAAGAGAAATGGTTGCAAAAAATCAAGGGTTTTTACCTTTGACAAAGTTGGTTGCGATAGCCTGTTTTTTCGCTACCAATCACTATTTTGGTTGCATTAGGTATTCGTAACGCGGCTATAGTGACCAATTCTGCTACCAAAATCTTTTGGTTGCGAAAGAGTATTAATAACCCATTTTGGACTTTTCGGGACCAATTATTTTGGTTGCAAAAGCCTTTTTTTCTTGTAGTGTAATATGGATAGCCCGAGAAGTTGCATTCACTAAAACAAATTCATCATAGGTATTGGAGACGATTTGGGCTAGGCCCAAGTAAGCAATCCGTCCATCCCGCTTCACTTTGGAACAATTTTATGCAATGTAGTCAAAATCACGCTTTACAAATTAAAAGCTTACGCCCTTACACTTCTAAATCACTAAAACACTTCTACTTAGAATCCTATTTCTCACTTATAATTGTAGTCTAAATCTACATTTTATAACTTAAAAGCCTACGCTTTTACTGTTATAGATCACGAAATTGCTTCTACATAAAATTTCAATTTGACTACATTGATTTTATGAACTCGTCTCCAATGTCACTTGTGATGTTTCCCCATTGAGAAATTAAACTGTTTGTCTCTTATATTTGTCCTCCATGCTGACTGATTTTATAGTGGGCTATAAATAGGAGAAATAAAGATAGAAGAAGGTTTTTCGAAACAAATCTTTTAACATCACATGTCAAGTTTATCTTCTCGCCACGAAGTAGCCATAAGAGAAGTTTTTAGACCTCCCAATGAACTTTCATATGAGTGGGTGTAGTTTAACTTAGCTTGTCCCTAAAAGTCAAACAAACCATTAAACTACATTCAAACTTTGTTCGACCAAGTGTGAAGTGTATAGTTAATTATTCTTGAAGAAGTCAAATGTACATTCATTAAATTAGAACACAAACTATATGTATTCTCGAAGATTGTGTCAAGAACCAGATCCCAATAACTCGAGTTGTTGGGAGAAGGTTATGTTGGATCTTATACCATTCTCTAACACGCCCTCTCAAACGAAAGCCAACCCATGGGCTTCAAGTTTGTACAGGCCCACCATACCATGTGCTTGAAAGACAACTGTTAATATTGGGGGTCGTGGAGATTCGAATACATGACCTTTTGGTTCTAGGCTATGATATCATGTCAAGAACCAGTTGATCCCAATAACTCGAGTTGTTGGGAGAAGGTTATGCTGGATCTTATACCATTCTCTAACAGATTGGACTTTCCCTTTGATTTTCACTTTATCTCTTTCATTAGTTCAACGTGGATATTCGATCAATACATGCAACTGTGAAGGTTGAAGTTTGAGAGTGGGAGAGTGTGTTTTTTACTTGTCACCAGAGTACCCTGATTCCTTGGTACATTCACAAGTCGAAAAACAATCAGCAATATTTGTCAATAGTAAAAAAATGGAAGTATTCTTTTTGTGATAAACTCCTTGTTTTCTTCTACCAAGTCTTTAGTTGGCGGTGCTTGGATTATGTGAAACTGGTTGCTCTTTAGGAGAAGAAGACAAAAGATGAAACCTCTAACGTTTATTTTATTTATTAATTCTCTCTTCCTTCGCAAACTCGTAGCAGATTCAACTGCTACAATTCCAGGAAGCAGGAAGCCGAAAGTACACATAGAAGCCGATAATCGAACAAATATTACACCATACTATTATTGTTCGATACCATTTATTTATTTTATTGACTCCGTCGGCCCTGGTCGCCGCGCGCTTAACAGCTGGTGTTAGCCTCGGGCTGGATCCCAAACTTCTGACAGTATGAATTGTAGTAGCTGACCCGAGCCCTGACGGCGGGCGCGTTTCCTCCGTTACATTCAATCCCGTTAATCTTCCGGATGGTGGCTCCGAACCCTTGCGGCAGGACGGGGCGAACATTTGTCATCCAAAACCACAACGCCGTCTTCCACGCCAGCACCGGGTCCCTCGCCACGACGTCCGGGTCACCGACGCCGTTAAAGTTGTTGGCCCGCCCGCACACCGCGTAGTTGTAGTTCCACGTCAGCTGAAGTGGGCCCCGGCCGTAGTATTTTTTCCCCGGAGCGCACGGGTACTGGCTCGGGTCGCAGTAAGTCGCGCGGTTGATTTCCTCCACGTAACACATGCCTGTCGTATCGTACGACAAAATATTTCGAAAAAAAAATGTTACCGAGTAAGTAAGTCGTACGTTACTAAAAATAGTTGTTGGGAGAGAGTTAATTAATCACGTTACGTACTTCCGGTTTCGTGGGTGACGTGGGCGAAGAAGGCCGCGATTTCGCGCTTCGAACCGGGGAGAGATCCTCGGTTGCCGAAGTTGGGGTAGGCGTTTGCGGCTTGCAGAAAGGCCTCACGTGTGTAGAAGTTCTTCCCGGCGCAGCTGTTGGGTGCTTGGTTCTTGATGCCGTTGAAGAAGGCCGGGGTGACGATGTCGGCCACGGCGGCGTTTGCCGGGAGGGCTGCGGTGGCTGCGAGTATGGCGACGGCGGCGATGAGGAGGTGAAGGTTTCCCATGGCGAGAAAGTGGGGAAGGAAGTGAAAGGGGAGATTGAATTGAAAAGAGTGTGTGTGAATGAAGAAAGGGGAGAGTAGGGAGAGGAGCTATTTATAGAAGAAGGTTGGGTTGGGTGGGTTGTTGGTTTTGGAAATTTGAGTGAGTGGAGGGAGTGGGATAGACATAAGACATCATCAACCCTTTCGTGGGGAAAATAAGTGAATAGTGCCACCAACAAAAAAATGAAATTTGGTAGAGGAGAAAATGTTGAAGAAAATCATGTAGAATTTCGAAAGCCTCCAATATTGAAATTGTTCATTACACTACATTTTGCAATGTAGCGTGGGTTTTTGTAGACGTGTTCAACAAAAAGTTTGGATGCCTCTTCCGGTTTCACATTGTTCTCTCTGTACTTTCCTTCACCCCTTTGCTGGTGCCGGGTGGATTGTTCTATATCATCATGGATTCAATGACTCATGTGGCTCTTTTGGAAACACGATGGACCAGACGACACAATTAACTTGTTACGATAAAATTTGGGTATTACAGGAAAAAAAAGGATGAACCACTTCAATAGAACTATCGACGGGTATAACATTTTCTTATTATCGGTGTTTGAACAAGATTCTACAATTAGAAAGGTATCAGTACTGAGCAAGGACATGAGAACCATTCAACTGAAGTTAATATCAACCAGAGCCCCTATAGATAACGATCTAACTTATTGGTTTATCAATGACATTAGAACCATTGAACCCTATACTATCATCGGGTTGACTGCAGAATCGTAGCGATCGAGGTTTTTTGCTGTTTGTGGTCATTCTAACGTATCTAAACTTGTTGATACACATGGTGCTCGAGGAGGAACCGTAATGATGCAATTTTGAGAAAGAGTTTAAAGATACACTAAAGAATACGGAGTTTCATATCAATTTCAAGAAGTATCATATATACGTGTATGATACACGGTAAAAAAAATTCAGTTCGGCAGACAGATATCACTTGAACGATACTTGATTGTTTTGAAAGACTTGAATGATCTATCAACGAATTCCGTCATGTGTCAAACGAAAAGGAAATAATATATGGTAAAAGAAACAAACAGGAATTTGAAGAAGTGGTGGAAGGAAGAAAAAAATGCAAATTGTTTCCAGTCAATACACCCTTTCATTTTATACTTCAAAAAGAAACCAATTCCATTTTACGATCTATATAAAGTACAATGGACGGCCTTTTGGTGCACGAAGTCATAATTACACGGAGAAATTTTTTATGGCCGCTTGACTTGACTTTGACTTGGATGGTAATAGTCTAAAGTCATGTTAATTATGGTGGTCTGTAAATGACTTCGAATGTATGTTAGGATTTCCAACTTGGAATGGTAATTGGCAGTCACTAAATGGGGTGGTTTGCTTACTCGTAGAATTTTAAAAAATAAGACATTTAGGTATAATTTTGGATTTTTTTACGATTTTAGGATTCTTTGCATTTTTATTTTATAACTTTGTGTTGGATTTTCGATATTATGTGTTTGCTAGCTGGATTTAGAAATAGATTATATTATATCGAATTTATGGGTTAAATAAATGTTACAGTTTGGTTTGGCGTAGCGAGATTATCCTTCGGCATGGATTAATATTATGGCTAGTCCTGCAAAATAGGTTAAAACTCAAAATAAACTTCTAGTATGGGGAACCCATAACTTCTAATGGGTGAATCCCTATCTTTAATTCTCTAAACCAAACTGGTTATATGATTTATTTAATCTTAATAATAATAATTGATGGTTCTTATTCATCTGAATATATGAAGTGCATCTAATGAGCTTGAACGTAGGCGTATATCATACTCCAGCTGTACTGATGCGTTGCGGCGTCGAGCTTTACAATTTATAAACTCGATCATCGATAATGCTAACTACTCCAATCTAGGACAAGTGCACCCTAGATCGACGAAGTAGTGTAGTGGTGACCGAGGTCGTATATCTCTAGATCTATTACTACTCTCGAGTCTCGATCTCGACTTACTATCTAGTTAAACGGAATGATTGATGGTTTAAGTATGAGCAAAACTAACAAAGAAACAAACAAAACTAAAAGGGGATGGGATCGATAGATAAGAGATAGTGTCGGCTAGACTTCAAACTACCTTCAATGCTTTGTAAGGGTTAATGTTGTAAGGAATTGAATCAATCAATGGTGAGTGTGGTGCAAAGATCTCTAAGGTTGGATCAGTGCAATAATCATGCCTCCCGAACCACCTTCTAGCTCAGTCCAATGTCAATATAATCATGGATCCATATCTAATAACTATATATAGATATATATGGTGATATATTTCTTCCCAAAATATTGTATATGTATTTTAAAAATTGCATTCAAGTATGATGATTTTTTCTCACACTCTGAAAATATATATGTACATTTCTCCTCAGATGGTCTTGCCTTTTATGTTGTGTGTTTTAAACCATATCACATCGGCAATTCAACTATAAAAATACCTACCAGTAGGCGATTTTTAGCAATAATTAAGAAACGGGTGAATTACGAACAATGAATTGGCCTAGTGGTAATCTAGAATCTGGAAGTCCCAGATTCGAATTCCTTATTTAGTACCTTAATGACAAAAAAAAAAAAAACCTATATCACCTTATATAAAAAACAGCTGAATTACAATTTCAATGCAAAATACCCTCCACTAGTTTTTCCTAAGCAGTTTCATAATCTTTGCTAAATTTATTTTCCTATGAACCCATGATCACATATTCAAATTTGTCCTATATTTCGACCTTGGAGGGTCACGAGGTCATCCTCTGTATTGTCCATGAGCAATGGTGAAGTCATCGTCTATGGGCAAGCGGCTGCTTTTCTGTCGGTGGAGAGAGCTTTACTGCTTGTGTCACTAAAGACTTCTGGGTTTTTTCCACACACAAAAAAAAAAAACTCGTTCGCTTTGATATATCGAATTCAATGAATAGCCACCGAAGGAACTAGGTTACTTGTCATTTTGCTAAACATCTAATTTCGAAATCGATAAATTGACACAAACGAGGAAACAAAAAAATGTTGAGCAAATTAGGTGAAATTTTGTGGGTGGTCCTTATCTATATAATCCAGTTGAAAATGAAGCCCTGTCCTGAATTCGTCGGCCAAACATAGGATCAGCAAATGTACTAGTTAATTATGTAAGACTAACTCCAATGAATTGCCAAAATGTCAAAGTGGGGGAAATTTCGGCTTAATTGGAAGATAAAGAGATCAAGTATCAATATTTTCAGAATTTGGCGCTAAATTTGGCACAAAAGGGGATAAGAAGAGCCAAACCAACTCATACCTCTCCACTAACATGCTCGGACGCGTCGAATGAGGTGACGGTGCGGCGGAACCAAGTATCAATAATTTTAAATTTATCTACAAATAATACACAATATATTTTTACTTCTACTTACACCACTTCCAAAAATTTCTCTCCTCATCGCATAAAAAAAATTATATTCTTCGCATCGAATAAAATACTTCTCTTCTTTCCAAACTCATGATCATGTGACAAATTACTCTCCTTTGAAATAGGCATAATAATATTTCAAAAGTCTATGGAGGGAATGTTTAGTGTATCAGAGATGCTCGAAGTCTAAGGAGGACATAAAATCCAAACTGGATGAGGAAAACAAGGAGCCTACCCTATTGACTGAGCGAACATATAGCATTTGCGACTTTACAAAACACAATGCTTCTAAAATTTCTTCCAGCATTGTATGACCAACCATTACGGATGTCAACTTCGTGCTATAGGTAGGCAGCATTCAAACCGTGCACAATGTTTGTCAATTCTAAAGGAAAGGACGATGGTGATCGCGTCCGACATATCAGCAGTTTAGTAGAGCCGTTGATAAATGAAAAAAAAAAATACATACATGTTTTAGGTGGAAATTAAATTATTTCATTGTGACTTTGATAAAAATATCACTGGAAATTGGACCTATTAACTTTGGAATGACGTAAGTGTGATTATCATTGTGTTCTATCAATTTAATAATTTTAGTGAAAAATAAAGTGCACAAACACATTTCATATATAGAGGCTAAATGTAGAAGCAGGCCCGGCCAAGTTCCAACCCAAATGCAACCGCTCCAAACTTCAAAATACTGGCCCAAAAGATAAAACGCGACAAATAGCTCTTGGGGCTACAAGAATTCCTAATTTGTTTATTTGGGCCGAGTCCAGAATTGGAATTAGAGAGGTGTAACAAACAAACAATTAAAAGTTTGATTATTTTATGACATTCCAAATAGTAAAGATTTTTTTTTTATCGAAATCTGTAAGAAATTTTATTAATCAGCGTTTGCAGTTACATTATCCACCATAAGCTGTTCAATAAGGAAAGTTGGCGGTCTATCCAGCCAAACAATATTCTCATCCCAATTCGTCTCAGTGTGTGCCATGATATGAGTTGCTTTATTAGCGTCCCTGTAAATGAACTTCCATCAGCTGCTATCCATTTCTTCCAGTTTGCGGCAGATATTCCTGCAAAGCACTCCCTCCTCTGTTTGGACTTGCCCCGCCCTGTTCATTAACTATACCAAGGTTTGGCTATTAGATTCCAGTATCGGCCGCGTCATTTGAAGTTGTCAGGCCAGCTTCACTCCGAAATCAGCAGCAAAAGCTTCCGCCACCATCGCCGTCCATGCTCCTTTAACTTTCTTCACAGCTGCGAGGACGAAGCACCCGCTTCCATCTCTAATAACCACACCGAGTCCTGCTCCTCCTGTCGGGAATACCCATGCGTCTGTGGTTATCGAGATGGACCCATCTCCTGGGCGCTCCCATCTCTTCATCACTTCAACAGTTGAGGGTGTTCTAGCTATCTGTTCATTCCCCTGCTGTTGTCTATAGGTTGCAAGGTAAGTAGATGCTCGGGTCACAATCTCTTCTTCTGGCATCTTTTGCTCGTTGAACAACTGAGCGTTCCGCTCTTTCCATAAAGTCCACAACAACTAGCACCACTCCTCAAATGTCCCTCCATCCACCGCAGTCATTACCCACTGCGCCCACTCCAAACAATCGTCGCTCCTCCGTGCTTCAAAGCAACCTGAAAGTGTAGACTGCCGCCATAATCTTGTCGTCCAGGACGCTCCGCAAATAAGTGAATTTGGGTATCACGAATATCACAAAAGGGACATTTATCACTCCATCTCGTACTCATCTCGCTAACACGATCTCCTGTAGGAAGGGCGTTCCTCATGAATCTCCACATAAAGTTTTTAATCTTCGGCGGTATTGTCATTCCCCACATATGCTTCCACGTGCTTTCATCCCCATGTATGACAAGGCCTTGTTCTACTTAAAGGTCTTCAACCATTGGTAATAACCTTCCTTCACCACAAAGTCCCCATCCCGACTCCAATTCCAAATCAGTGTATCCTTCTCCCCCTGTCCACTCAACGAGATTTGCTTAATTGTCTCGACTATAGCAGTTGGGAAACAACTATCAAGGATGTTGACGTCCCACTGTTCCGTCTCTGGATGTTAACTTTTTCTTAACTTCGAAATGCAAATTACTTAGGAGACGTTTGGATCAGGGATTGTGGGACAATATATGGTCACAACCCTTTACCTTCTCGGATTTGGTCACAATCCTATGTTTGGAAAGACTGGAAAATATGAGAATGTCTCATTTTTATTTTTATTTTGTGCCTGTCGCGATTGTTGTTCCATTTCCAGTAATATGCTTCACATATTAGTGCTTGTTTTCGTTTGTGCTTGCTTACTGAGAAAGAAGAAGACAGCGATAGAGAAGCATAAGAATGATAGATATATTTTTGTGGTTCTGATTATCACTTATAAATACCGCACTCACGTCCAAACAAGAAATTTTGGTCAAATAACTAATTTAAATTTCCTAATTTTTTAAATGAGAGATTTGGAACCAAAAATTCCTCGTATTAAAATCCTCCATCAAAACGGATTACTCGTTGATCATTAAGATACACCGCTCTACCCTTTCGCTTTCTGTTATTGCCCCAGCCCATCAAAGGATTGAGAAAGAATGAAATTGATTAAAAAGAACCCAAAAAAACAAGCTGCAAAACCCCATTTCTACCCTCTAGTTTCCCAATCTCTATCTCTAAGAGCGGCGCGTTGTACTACTATACCACTACTCGCTTCCAATTCCAAAGCAGCCGTCGTCTCCGCCGCAGACTTAATCCCGACGGAATCTAAGATCCTCGTACCTGTACACGCAACTCAGCGCCACCAAAACCTCCACGATCGCCGCCTCCGTTTTCTCCGCATCCGAATAGTGCAGCGTCTGCACAAGCAGCACCGATCCCTTCGCTCTCCCGTCCAAATCCACCGCCATCTGTCTCTCCAGCTGCCGATCCGCCTGCCACTTCACCGTGTCGTGCGCCATCGGCGCCAGCCACTCCAATATCTTCCCCGCCGCCTCCCTCCACCCTTCCGCCAGCGCCACCTGGCACCCCGAACCCCCGATCTCCTCTCGATTCCACTGCCTCTCCAATTTCCTCTTCACCGCCGCCCTCAAGCTCTCGGGCAGCATCTCGTACATTGCCGATCGCGCTTCGTCGTCTATGCTCGTCGTGAAGTGCAAGTATCTCTCCGCCAGTACGATTATCTCCGCGAGTCGCAGAGCCAGGCCCGACCCGCCCGCCGTGGATGGCGGCGTTATCGGTAGTCTCTGTCTGGTTTCTTCCCTGGGGTTTGCACGCCAGGTGTTCGATGAAAGTTCCTGACTGTAAAATCTGGGCGGAGTTGATGGTATTGAAGATTTCTGAATTGGGCCCGACGCGTACAGTTGGGCGTTCTTCGGCTTCGATTTCAAACCCAAATTGCTGCTCCTCGCAAGACAAGGAAGGAAGGAGACGAAGGGTCCGAAGAGCTTACACATTCGGATGAAGATCACTCGGATCGCTTCGGCCATTAGGCGAACGCTCTTGTCGAACGTCACGTTCCAAAGGGAAGTTTCTCTGCAGCGTTTGATCTGTTTCCGCTGCGCCGCTATCCTCTGCCCGTCAATGCAGCCGTTGTTCGTGATGAACTTGGAGGGCTCCAGTTTCAGCTTCAGCATCTGAAACTTGCGCTCGGACGCTTCCATCTCCGCCAAACTTTCCAACCCCGCGTGCAGCTGTGTCGTTGCGGAGACGTACTTCTCCATCTTGCGGAAAATCTTGCTCCCGTTCCCTTGCTTCGAGTAGAATTCGACCCTGTCTCGAGCCACTACAATCCCCTGTTTCAAATCCTCGTAATCGTAACTGAAGCATCTGAGACCCGGGTCGGAGCATCTCCGGCCTAGACGAGACACGGTGAAGGCCGCCGAATCGAGCTCGTCGAGCTTCTCACAGCAGGCTAGACTTAGAAGGTGGAACTCGTCGTCGGAATTCAAGTACCTGACTCCTCTCGATCTCAACGGCCCGTACCGAAGCCTGGTGAATTCGTTCTCGGAGAGGAAGCTGTAGAGAGAAATGAGGCGAGACATTGTGCTGGCTACCTCGAAGGACAGGATGTCGAGAGTCTCCGGCGGGTCCGACGGCAGCCGGACGTTGGGACTCTGGAGCCAGGGCAAGGTTGCAGCAGTGACCATGGCGTTGGATGATGTCAAAAGCTTCTCTGTGTTGTTGCGGGAAATGGGTTTACCTTGGGATTCGATTATGATGGAGTGAGTAATGGGTATATAGAGGAGGAGGCGCTGTAGTTAGTTAGTTAGAGGCGTGGTGGGAACTGAAGAAATGGTGAGGATTCGAGGCAGCTTCCTTTCCTTTGCGTATCTTCATGGTTGGGGAAGGAGGAGTAAGGAGGTGGTGAAGCAGCCTAATTCAATTAGGAATTGGTTCAGAAAATAAACGCGTTGGGTTTGGGATGTCGATTTAAGGTAAGCTTCTCAATGTTGTGTGGATTTTGTGTATTTTTGGTCTGTCGACACTTGGCCACATCAGCAGATAGAGACCATTGTTTGCCACCTTACAACACAAGTTATGGAGCGGAGACCGACTCCAATTCCAAATTCCAATCTTTCCCACCTGAGTACAAATAGAGTCGGTTTCATTTGTTTAACTTTTTCCTCAACAGAATTCTCTATCAAATATTTTTGTTTTGGTTTTAGTTTATTGAGAAATTTACATGGCGGACTTGGTAAGATAATATAGTGGATCCATCAGCATATGAAAGTGTTGTGGAAGTGAAGAATTTTGGGGGTGACAAAAGTCACGAGAGATTCTGACAGTAGCAAAGTTTGGTCAACGTGGGCTGGGTATGGGTCGATGGAGTCCAAAATCGGACTAAATTATTCTAGGACTAAATCATAATTACACAAAATTGAAGTATTAAGGTGGAATATTCTTCCCCGATTCGATTATGAGTTGTAACGTGAACTGATTCGATCCTAATCAGAACACTATGTTTTTTTATCCAGATTCTCGGAATTATTATTTTGTAAGAAGGAAAGGCACACATGAATACTAACTACTAACATATAAAAAAAAATGAAGCATAGTTAATCTCAACTTAAGAAGTTCAACCATTCCCCCACGCAAGATCTCAAACCTAATGATGGACCATCGTCGCGGCAAGACGAGCTAAGGGGCAAGGTTCGAGTAAGGAGCGGTAATACAAAAGTCTCCTATGAAACCGAATTTATAAGAGGTCAAGTTCTGTATTTGTGTGTACTGGTTTCACGATTCAGAGCTCGCACAAGTTGACTTGTCTAGTTCCATTGTATACAATGGTAATATAGTAAATAAGCAATGTAATTACATTTCGACCTATTTATTATGTTAAATTTACCGTTTTTGTTTGGATTCAACCAAATTAATAAAAAACAAATCAAAATAGTAATAATTTCATTAGACTGAAAAGTGAACCAGTCCGATTCGATTCGATTCTGTTCAATATTAATTGAATCGCTGTCCAGCTAAATCAATCAAGGGGATTATAATTCCCGTGAGAACACAGAAGTATAAGGATTGAGCTTTTGTCAAACAAAATAATTGAATTCCACTCTACATTATTTTTCTTGCTATTTTAATCTTGTAGTCAAAATGGTCAACATAACTTTCTTATACGGCTTCAGCCTTCAAGTCATTCCGTGTTTTCTTACTCCTTGGTTTTAGTTCTTTTTAGGCCGTCTTGTAAGTGAATTGGATTGGTCAGGTTGTATTCTCATTGGCGTACTTGCCATGAGATTGCTTTTGAACGGCGCCCAGTGAGTAGGCAAACATAGAGATGGCAATCAGTAAAGTGCATATCAATTATTCTATTAAGAATAGTTTGGATTTTATTTATATTCATATCAATGAATTTGAAACGGCAAAGTTATGCATAAATGCATAATTAGATATGAATCCTTAATTCTAACTAAGCTCAAAAGGAAATATTTTATCATATAATCTATTAAATCTACAAATTTTTGAAAAAAATTTCCAGTACAAAAAATAACACTCTATACCACAATGGTATAGGATATATAGTAACTCGTGGTAGACGGTGATGAAAGATGATAATGATGAGGTTATTTTCGGTTTGGGGTTTTGGTATTTTTGGACTGGATTTCTTTTCCTTTTCGTTGTAGTTTTCCTTTGAGTTTGGGTTGGGGTAGCCGAATAGGAGAAAACGTTCAGGTAGGTTTAGGTTGCGTATTAAGCTTTAAATCCTACAAATTAAAGTAAATTTTAAATGATTTTTTTTTTCAAATTCACGTTCTTTTTGTTCACAATATCATAAGCAACAATTGATACCGTTGTGACATGAATCGCATGCTCAGAATGATGATTATGAGGCGGGTGCACTGAGTGCACCCAAAAAAGTGGGTGCGCCGAATACGCCAGTGCACCCAAAAAAGTGGGTGCGCCGAATACGCCACTATATATATATATATATATATATATATATATATATATATATATTAAAATCAAAACAAAAAGGACTTCCAATTATATTTTACCTTCCTCTACTGGAAATTCCATATACGAATAAGCTCTAGCTAGAAGAGGTTGCTGATCCGACGTTGCGAGACCAATCGAAGACGAGACGCCAAGGGAAACTTCTCGACACACATGGCCGCATCGTTCTATAGCAGGCTCGAAGCTGGTCGATTAGGGATTTTTTTTTTCTTTTGGAAATTGGAATAGCGGGCTCCAGATTTATACTGAAAGATTTTTCTTGCTTTTTTAGGCAGGATGCTTACTTTGACCCTTGAATTCTCTTAATTGGCCATTTTGGTACCTAAATCGAATCATTTGTCAAGTTGCTATCGATTCATTTATCTATCTATCTATAACTTGTATTACTGCGGTTTGTTAGCAACATTTTGCCACCTGGAAATAATAAAGAGATCTATAATCATGATCACCAAGACTCAAACCTATGACTTGTGAGTCTCAAATTTTATTTAGGGGCCGTTTGCTTGAGTCATTTTATGTCAAATGACTTGTTTGCTAAAGAAGAAATGCATGAGTCATTTCGTCCATACGAAAGTCTCAAATGACTCATTATTTAGTCCAAATGTTCCAATTACGCCCTCACCTATTTTATGTAAACTCACTTCTATCCTTCTCTTTCTCTTATTTGTTTTCTATGTCATTGTTTCGTCTTCTGTTGGAATTATTTTTTTCTTTCTTCCAAATTAAACATGCGACGAAGAGGATCATCTATGTAGCGGCACATCTTTTTTGTCACAAACACCATCATTTGTAATTAGCTTAAAATTTGAGAGTTATGGAGGCGTTACCTTTTATAAAGAAAGTTAATATATAATATTATTTAAAATTAGAAAGTACTATTAGTCTATTATACATGACAAACACCCAAATAATATGTTTTGTTGATTTCAAAATAATTTTGTTTATGTGGTTGGTTTTATTAGAATAGGAAACAAAGTAATGGAATATATTTAATGTAAGGGCAAAAATGATAACTGTGTACAAATGACTCATCTATAAACTTTTAAACAAACAATACATTTGTAATGTTTACATTCCCAAATGTCTACATTTCTCAAATGCCTACATTTGAGCAAATGAGTTTTGCAAATGTCTACATTAGAGTGTTAACCAATTGGGCAAATTCTATTTGATTCTATCAACCACAAAAATGTTACTACTCATGTTATAAAATATTCTTTCTTTATCGGTTGACCTTCAACTGAATTATGAAAACATTGTTCCTAAATTTTGCATAAATTAAAGCAACGAGAATGCCTATTACATTTTATATCCATAATAGAAAATTATTAATAAATTAAAATAACTTTCGTTCAAGATTTCTTCATAATATGTTTTATAAATAATTTAAAATATTTAGAAAAATAATAAATAGAAAAATAATATGAAAAGTGGAGTTGCCATCACACTTGGAGATTCGCCCCGTCTTCCATGTGAGTCAATTGAAGCCATATCATGAAGACAAGGAAGATGGAGCGAGGAAGGAGTCGATGAGGGCACCAACTCTTGTCACCACAACACATGAGCACGAAGTGGAGGAGATCATGGCTAATCGTGTTGTGCCTAGGCGTGGTGTTCACCCAAGCTACGCGGAATATCTTATCAAGTGGAGGGGGCGGCCAGAAAGCGACATCACTTGGGAGAAAGAGCTTTCGCTATGGCATCACAAAGACTTGATCGAGGCATTTCATGCGGAATCCACGACGATGGCGTCGCGATATTGAGTGGGGGAGAATGTCACAAGGAAGATTCTAGAAGGGTGTAGGTACATGTATGCATCTCTAGATTCATGCTCCAATGTACATACATCCCCCTCATTTATTTTGATTCATGTATGAGTGCTTATGCATTCACCACATTATTTCCATTCATGTATGGGGGGCTTCTAGGTTCGTTCATTTATGACGACGTCATACATTGTACTTAGTGGAGAGGATACCTATATAAGCAGCTCACTCCCTCATTTGTCATTCATCCAGAAATAAGAGAGATTTCCATCTTTAGAGAATTTCCCAACTTTTGAGTTTGAGTGAATACGAGCAAGGCTGACTTAGCGCTCTAACGAGACTTGAGAGCTAAGTGCCACACGGCCAAGAGTTGGTCCGCGACAGGGTTACTCACCGGATCTGCTCTCCCTATATTGCGGAAGGTGACTGAAAAACAAATTTTTGGAATACGATCCGTCATCTCAATTTCCTTTTCTTTTTCCTTCCTAATTTGGTAAGCGTGTTAACCGAAAATAAAAATTAAGAAGAAAAAAGGAATGTCAATATGGTTCGGATATGGTTCGGTGCAGATATCTCAATAATCATATTTGTACATGGCAGGTCGGGTCCAAGTTAGGTGATTCATCACAGGGCATGGGCCGGACAGGTCGACCCAATGCGTATGTAGATTCAAAGAAAATGTTAGGAAATTTTCAATTTTTTTCATTCTAAAAACAAGAAACAAAGTAAAATATGATAAATGTAGTTATATTATTTAAAAATTTGAGATTCCTACATATTTACAACTTTGTTATAGCTAAAATATGAGGTAATAAAAGGACACTTATAAGGTATTTGAATAAAATTACATGTAATTTAGAGAAAGACGAGTCGAAAATGAGGCGGATCAGAGCAGACTAGACAAGGAGAGTATCCATGTC